TGCACCGGGTAATCGCGCTCGGCCGGTTGCAGCTGACGCGATTGATAACAGACGACACGCTCGGCGCCGTCTGTATCATATTGCATCAGTGCACAGCCGATTGCAAAATCACTGGCGTCACAGACCACATGAAATGGTCTGTCTTGATCGGCAATCTCCAGTTCTGGTGATTGCATCAAGCTTTGCTTGATACGTTCAAAGGAACGCTGACAGTCAGCGTTTCAATTCCACTTTACATTTTTCTTGAGTAAACAAGAAAGATGTACTGTCATTTCGGCGTAATTGCGCGAGTACTTGTGCAAGTACGCCGCTAGCCCAAGGAACTTCCTTTGTCCCTTGACATCGACTGACACTGGCCATTCGGTGACGCCTTGATCTTTTCTGGATGAGGGCGTACGCCGTTCTTTCCGACGATGCCCCCATGAAATGGTATTTCGCTAGCTGCGAATATACACTTCTTGAGGTTGGCGTACAGCTTATGCTCGCGCATAAGTATAAGAACCTTACGGACGTGGAGTATATGGACTTTTACGTCTGTTTTCCCGTCCATAGCCCGACTATGGACGAACACATCATCGAAGTAACTCGGTGCGAATTCGCGCACGGTCTCAATAGATGTGAAACACATCTATTGAATGTGTCTGGATAATTACTGAGCTCTTGCGGCATCACCCACCATTCCTAGAGCATACCATTGCGAGTGCTCGCTGCTGTGTACGGGATGTCCCGTTCACGCATTAGGATATGATAGAAACCATCCATCAGATCCATAGACGAAAAGATGGTGCTCTTAAACATTCCATCTATGAATACGTCCTTTTTAGGTATCGGCGTTTGCGCCGGCATCGTCGCAGCGTACAGCTTGCTGAACGCGTGCACGTTTCCATCCCCCTGTGGCCTTGCGCACACAGAAGTTCGGAGAGCTGGGAGGTGAGGTTGACTCCCTTACATGGCTCACTGCTAGGCGATTGGCAAAGAATTTGTCGATCGCATCGACCTGCTCCCGAGGCAGTGGCCACTGCCTCATGACACAATATTTTGTGTCTGGAACAAGGTCGATCTCGTGTCGAGTACCTTTATCCTTAGGTAATTTACAAGTTGCGGATTCAAGGAACACATCCTTGACTTCGGCCAAATCATTATACAAAGGATTTGACTTCAGTGACTCCCAGGATTGCGATGTATATCGCTCAATCCGAGTCTATTCATCAAGGACACTTTCGTCCATTGATGAGCTGCTGAGAACCCGTTCGTTCTCGGCAAAAACTGTTGCTGACCGAATGTCAGTCATGTACTCGTCCTCTGCGACGAGCACATAGATCTGATTGACTTTGCCACTATGCAGATCACGCAAGAACCTTTTAGGTTCTAGCGTAGGCAACTAATTCATCTTTGAAGTTTGCTTTAGAGGCGCAATCAGATCAAGCGTACAAGCGCCTACGTTTGATCCGTCATTAACCAAGACGTTTAACGTCTCGGCTACATCCTAAGGAACTTATTCCTTCATTAATTGTTTCCTGGTGACTTATTCCCTCAGAATCGATGGAACTTATTCAATCGGCTTCCTCTAGCTGCGGCTGCGCAACCACAGCGAGATCCTCTACGATTAGCTCTCCAGTTGACCTAGGATTACCGTGTAGCCCCTTTTGGGCAACCGGTTTACTCTTCGGAGAATGCTGCCCTCTAGGCGAGCATTCATGTCCCGTTCCACAGATTTATTCGAGTGGTGGACCTTCGGCGCTGCCTGTGCTTGTGCACAGCCGCCGGCAGCTTGCTCCTCAGCGTGACTGATTGTCACGCTGAGTTCTTGTGCAGTCGTACTAACGACCGAACCACAAGTGAGGCCATCGCACTCACTCGTAAAATATTGACACGCTTGTGAACGCTCCAAGACGTTCATCAGATGGCCATCTGATGAAAAAGCGGCAGGCATCTTCACGGTTCGATACTGCCAGCTGACACACGACTCGCACCTGCTAAGCCATAATAATCCTAGGATGAAATCAAATTTGTCATCCAGGTCGAGTAAGATAAAAACATCACCGTACTCCTTACCTTCAAGTGTGTAGTGAATTCCCACTACACGTTTCTTTACTGTTACGGAAGCGCCAGTCGAAAGGCGCATCCTCGTCCTCGTTGAAGGGGGTCTTGCGCTCAACATATTTGAGCCTACGATCATCTAGCGACTGGCCTCGAACAAAGTTGTTCGAAGCCCCACAATCAACTAGGGCGCGAAGTGACATGTTCTTTGTCACTTCGATCTGATAGGTGATGATGGATACCTCATCACTCGGAGCGGCAACACACAGTGACTGTTTGTTAGGGCAACCTTCGTCAAGAGTCCCGCGAGCTCTCTTGACGTTGCTGGATCAGTAGGGCGTCCCGCCCCTACTGACCCCGACCGTTTTTTGATGGTCCACCACGTTGTTGCGATTTTGCAGCAACGTAGGGCCCACGTCTATGGCCCTTGCTAGCAGACGGACAATCGTCGCTCCCAGTGTTACGAGACACTGGGCGTGTGGAACTTCACTCATAAGCGTAGTGGCCCATCTTTGGACATCGATTTCAATTTTGCAATCGCTTGTACCCTGGAGAGCGAGGTCGCTCGCTCTCTACATAGTAGAGGTCCATTGGTTCTGGACCTCCGCCCTCCTGTCGCCTCGCTGGACGATAGGACCCCGAAGGGCCGTGAGCCTGTTGCAGGCTAAAGTCCTTCTGTTTCGCTGCAGAGATCGCTTGATCCAGCGATTCTAGTTCCAAGCGGAACAGGTGGGTCTTGACGTGATCGTCCGTAAGACCCTTGATGAACACAGTAACCTCCGTGTGTTCATCGATTGGATTCAGTACGATACAGCTAAATACAGCTAACGAGGTATCGTACGTGTTGGGCGTAAGCGTGTATATCACGCTTACCCTGTTTCAAATCCAGGAGATCAGCCGGAGCCCTGAATTCGGCGCGAGGCGGTTCAATCATGGTTTTGAGCTGCGACTTAAAGACATCATACGTTGGGAAAACGTATGGGTCATGCAGTTTGAGCCCTAAGGCCCAAGCTTTAGCACGTCCTCCCAAGTTCGACATAGCGAACTTTATCTTCATCGCATCGTCATCGATGCGACGAGCCTCAATGGCATCGTCGAGCTCGACGAACCATCTTAACAAGGAGTCGCTTTCGACTGCCTTGTACTTGAAGACATCAATCTTCAAGGACTCGGGTCGACGTGCATACGCCGACCCGGCAGCAACAGCACTAGCCTGCTGTTGTCTCAACAGTTCAGACTGTTGAGCACCCTGCTGCATCAACAAGTCAGCTTGTTGAGCGCCTTGTTCTCTCAACAGTTCAACCTGTTGAGAACCTTGCTCCTCTAGCAAGGTGAGTTTCTTTACGACTTCGTCAAGTTCATGTTGTATGAACTTGGCGATGGTTGCATGTTGGTCGTCTCCGCTAAGAGAGAGCAACATGGCACCAACGGCAGGGTTGCCGATGGTTTCAGCCATACGCTGAACCGCATTCCATTCGAGGTCACTCAAATGGCGGAAATCATCACGCGTTGCGTGATGACGTTCATCACCCGCTGATTCCATAGCGGATGGTGCGGTGGTCGCTGAACGGACCACGAAGTGCTACCAGGTGTAATGGGGCACCCTCCGACTATACTGATAACAGTATAGTCTACTCTTACTGATTACAGTGAAAGCAGGTGCCTCAGAACCTCACGTACACGTGAGCAGAGGAAGCTCATCAACTAAACAGACGCTTAGTTGAGAGGGAAAAGAAAACTGTGTTTAATATAGTTAACTGTCTAATAAAACTAATCTGTTATAATCCTATGTTAACTATATTAAACTGCAACTATGTATGTTAACAACTTGCCCTCCACTCATTACACGCATCCATCGGTCATTGGTCAGCGCGTTGGTTGATATGATGGCCCATATCAACCAATTAGAGGGCATCTCCAACTTCAAGGAGATTTAGGGAAAAGATTATAGGAAAAGATAATGCTGTCAAATATTATTAGTTATAACAATATTTTTATTGACACACCATATAAGTGTCAATATTATGTAACGGCCTCATCCCGTTACAGTAGCGAAGCTACACAACACACTTTAGTCAGAGGAAGAAGCCAAGGGGCAAAAGCCTTGTAGCTCCAAAGAAACAAAAAATTGGACGGCTAAAAGCCACTTAGTGTTATTTGGAATTATTTAAACGACTACGAAGTCTACCCATTCTGTGAAAATAGGGAGGGACTTCTAGCCGACAAACAATAAGCTTAAGGGTTCATAGAATCAGCGTACAGAGTGCAAGAGCAAGTTTGCAGCTTAGAGGTTCAAAGTACCAACGCACGAAGTACGCAAGAGAAACAAGTCAATACTGGCTTAATCTTTACGACTTAAAATGAGAACTATTCATAACATCGTAAACTTTATGTATCTTACACTAGATTATTACTATTATAGTAATTGTAGTATGCCATTGTCTGTATCTGGAGTAGTACTCAGTACTACTGTATCAGTTAAGGGAACGATACCGATAATATAAGGTATAACTGATACTCTATAATATCGTGAATCTATAATATCCCTTTCTAAAAGGATCGGTACAAAAAATACATTATATGCAATAACCATAATGTACTTTCGGTATGATGTTTTAAAGGTCGTGTAACCCGGTTACATACGTAAAGAGAAGCGGTGCGGCCATCCCCGGCAATTTTAATCAAATGGCATTTGCGCCATTATCATATTTTCAAATAAATTAAGAAAAAACATAACCATCAACATGAGATTTGAATTGTGAATTGCAATTGATTACGTACAATATATTAATTACTAGTGGCAGGCATCGAAGAGTAAAACTTAAATCAGTACATATAGTATGTTGTCAATGTCTTGCATTTATTTTAACCAGTTTGCGTCTTACAAACAGTCTAGTCGTGTAAGTTTATACGTTGGTGCCTTTAATGCCTGCACGCAAAAATGTGCTGATAAAGCTCTCTCAGCCATCAACTGGACGAAGTTCTCGCTCCAATTCTCGCAAAAACAGAGCAAGGTAGTCTTGATCTACCCGTCTCATAGTGAGCTTTTGCTGTAAGGACACGTAGCCAGCGAGTTTGAGTAGCTTGATGATACTAGGGTTGGTCTTGAGCATCTTTGAGTAGCGAATGTCGTCGTGCTGCAGTGTGCGGAATTTGGAGCGCACGCCTTCACGGTGGAGGGAGCGGAGCACCTTAAAAATGGACAAGAGTTTTCGTGCCCGCTCCGTTTCGGACGGACACTCGCAGCGGCAGCTTGCCAGACACGCGTGAATTTCGTGAACAGCCTCCTCCACTTGATGCGCTGTTGGGGCGCGATTCGGAGCATCATCGCTCCACGACGGCTTGTCGTTTAGTGGTTCACCAGATGAAGCACCACCCATTTGGCCTGACTGGAATGGCACGGAAGAACTGCGCGGACGGACAAGACCTGCCATCAGTTCTCGAAGCTCGTCACGCTCATCCATCCCCACTGCGGGAGCGGGAGATAATGGTGAGGATGGCGACGCAGCTGGGTTGATCGGCGGAGATGTAATGGCTTCCGCTGCTTCTCGCTTCTTCAGCAAAGCTCCTAGATCCTCTTCGATGAAGAATGCAGCAGGATTATGATACTTCTCTAAATGAGGTTCGCAAAAATCATGACCGCTAAGCAAAGACAACTCGTCGGAGGAATCATCGCAGCTATTCTCGTCAGACGACGATGTTGCATAATCTCGGTCGCCACCGTATCTGGTGCCACCTGTTGTACCAAGCGCTTGCAAGTAGGATCCTTCGGTTGGCGCAGCAGATGGTCGATTATTTTTCGATGCTTGACCACACATGCTTGTCTTTACGCTTCCATTGCTGCTGTTTAGGTCGCCATTTACTAATCTATCTTTGATCTTGGGTGGCTTCTTTGCTGAGCGACAATTTTTGGCTTCTTGGAACAGCTCGTTCCTTCCAGTAGCTAGCGGTGAGGATACTGGTGGTAATGGGGGTACAGGACTTAGCGAAGTCGTTACCACATTTGAAGGCAACGGGGAGGTCGATAATCTAGACAACGACTTCCGCGAGCCACCGCTAGCACGAACAGGAGTCTCACTGGAAGCCATTACACCACGAAGCTCTAACACGAGGTCTTGTGTCGTTAATCCTCTGGACTCCGATGGCGCAGAAGGTAAAGACATTGCCCTCGGGCCCGAAGACCTTGATGAGACTGTGTCATCGACAGTAGCATCTCTTTCTTCACTTCGCTCACCGAATATCTCGAAAACGCTCTCAATTTCCACCTGTGCTGAGCGATCGCGTACAGCATCCAGCCTCTGGTATTCTGGCTCCATTTTGTCACTGTCAATAACTGACAGCTTTCGCTGCGCTTCCTCGAGGCTACGTTGCAAATCGAAGATCTTCTTTTCCAGCTCATGAATTTCTGTGGCGCGGCGCACAGAATCCGCAAAGTTGTACGAGGAGTGCCTATTGTCATCATCTTCAAGCTCTGATCCATCTTGCTCTGGCTGATACGTTGCCATGATCTTGTCGTAATTAAATGCAGAGTACGGGTCTGGACTTTGAGCCGAGCTGTCATCGCTATCGTATACTGTCGGAAAGCTTGCTACTGAGACGGATCTTACACTCCCTCGTTTTGCTGAAACTCCCTCGTTTTCGTGTTTCTCTTGGTTACCTAAAGCAGCACGGTCTGCAAGTGGCAGGTTTTGGCGCTCTCCTACGGACAGAAAGGCCTGGCCAGCCTGTCTTGTGGCCAGAGCTGCTGCAAAGGTAATGCGAGCGACCGAGTTGAACTGGTTGGCCGTCATCCCACCGTCTCGCTCACTGCCTTGTAGCGAATCTTGACTACGGTCACTTGGTCCAGAGTAGTACATGGCAGGTACTGCATTCGTCGCATTAGCTAGTGCTGCGTCAAAGTTTGACACAGAACTTTCCAGCGCCTCTTGGATACTAGTAATCTCGCTGTACATATCGTTAAACTCTTCAATTTCGTCGCTATCTTCTTCCTGACGTTCTCCGTATGCTGCCTCAGACAAAGTAAGGTTAATGGTGTCACGAACCTCTCGAATACTGGTCACAACTTCCGTAAGAGCGTGCATCTTGTCCCGAGCTAGCAACTGCAAGCTGGCATCGATTTTCAGCGATGAATTAGCTGGCTTTAGCTCAGTGTCACCATCAAGAACTTCCATAGCAAAATTGCTCTGTCGACGATCGCGATCACGTGATTCACGCATGCGAAAAATCATGTCCTCATAAGAATTGTGTTGCGGGCTGCGTAGGCCGCGAATGTAAGACTCTGTAGTGTTCGACGTCGAAGAAGCGGGCTCGTCTCCAGTTCCAGTGCCGCTCAGCGCTAAGAAGTGTTGTTGAGCTTGTCGTGCTCCAGCACTCGTCATGCATGTGGAACAAACGCGCAAGTGCGTAATATCAAAGATCGGCTCCTCCAGTTCTCTTAGCAGTGCACATGACGAACAAACTACTTCACCACACGTCCGACAGTGATGTTTGCGACGGAAGTAGAATCCGCGCAAGCAAACTGCACACGCCTTACGATCCGAGTTGGGTACCCATTGCCACTGCTCTACAAATCTCAAACTGCTCACTCTTTGTCGTGCTACCAGCCCTGGGATCTTGGCCACTGCACACACCGTCTTCTTCATCAATTCCTCCAACACTCCTCTAACTATAGGGCTCAGATCTCCGTCAATCTGGCAAATCGACGTAACCTTAAAAGTGTTTGGCTGGTGCGTTTTCGAAACGATAATGCCCATTCTGGACAAATATCCACGTGCAATCCCAAAATTTTCCAACGTTGGCACTTCTTGTTCTCTTGAAATCGATTCCTGGACACAGAACCCCACTACATTTGAGCCTGGTTGTGGTTTTTGCTTACCCGCATACTCTAAAAAACAAAAATCCAGAATCTTGTCATCTTCTCGCGGTCGTTGGATCTTTTTCAATGCATGCCATTTTATAGCTCGGTATGAATACGATTCTCTAGCAGGTGCTCGATGTGATGCATTACTGCCAGAACAAGTACTACGTTGGGGAAAAGTAAATAACGTCCTCCCGTCCACGAAACCGTCACCATGCATGTACCGCATGGTTTTCCGAAAATCTTTTGTCGTGACTTTGGCTACTGCGCGGAGAATCTCATCGACTTTTGTGTCGGATAATTGGATACTAGCTTTAAGTAACGTGGATGCATGCGCATTCTTGTTGACCGGCTGGAAATCAAGAAAACTGGCTCGTTCACACGACACGTCGTCGTTCGACTCCAAGTTAAGACGGGAATGACGAGCAAGACGAGATCTGGGGCGACGGCGTGCGGTATCGACACTCGTCCATTTGTAAGCACACTCAGCATCCTCAATGATTCGGATCAATTGAGCTACTCGCTCTTTGCCCAGTCGCTTGTAGTACTTGACTTCTTCTTTCGTGAGTGCAATTTGCGGGAAAAAACCATCATGCAGGGGGAACTCGAGCATTTCCAAGTCAAATGTCAATGTCAGAGCAAGCAATAACGCAAGCCTGTCGTGGCAAAAAAGGTTGTCGAGTCTCGTCAGTCGAGCAAATGCGCGTGCAGAATGAACACGCAAAAGTGCGTGTGCCCTTTTTGGAATGTATCTAACGACAAATGAATCCAATAGTGAACCGTTGAAGGCCTTTATCAAGGGAAAAACGAGGCGGTTTCTGGCAAAGAGCGTCGTCGTGCAATTGTAGTAGCGGTCGGTCAAAGAAAAGGGTCGTTGTGCCCTTCCGAACGTGATGGGTACAGCAAAAGACGGTGAAAGGTTGATAGGGTGTCTGCGACAACTTGAGGTTGTCTATTTGATGCTGACATGGACGAGAGAAAGCCAGCACTCGTCCGTAGTATGCGCATTAATATGGTTTTGTATGGCCGTTCATACGCCGACGACATGGCTTCCTGTCCACTCTTTTTGGTGGTACTAGTGTTTTCATAGAGCAGCGTAGTACGTCCGTCCGACGACTCGTGGAGGGGCGTGGTACGCACGCGGATGGCTGGCGACTACGACAAGCAAGAACCCTGTAGTGACTCTAGATTTAAGTCAGCGTCATGGAGCTGACATCTGACGAATGTCTTATGATGGTCGTGGTGTCGTTGTTATTAAACGAAACAGAACAGACCGCTTCGATCCGTCGATCTTCAGCTTCGGCTTCAGCAAATGTTTTGGTGCTTCGTGAGCAGCGACATACACTTTCCTTGCCAGCTATTTTGAAATAAAAAGTAAGAGCGCTGACTCAGCTTTAGAGAGTAACGACGGCAGCAAGTACGCGACGTATCAGGATACGAATGACTATCTTGATCTTTCCGAAGTCTTAGTCTGCATCATACTGATTCATACACCGTGCTGCCTTGCAGTCGCTATCGGTGGCGCATCTCGACTTGCTAGCGCCTTCACCGATAACGTGAGATGATACGAAACATTGAGCCAAGGTTCACGGCTGCTGGCAGAGCTCATTGCACACAATTTCCATCGAGTACCTCAGCTCAATCATTCATAATTCGAGTTCGGTGGCTTCTTCAGCATGTCCACAGTCTGAAGATGAAGGACATAAGGAACACAAACCTCACAGTCGACACACTAAAAAAATGTGAGAACAGGTAGGTATGTTCGTCCAATTCGTGCATCCATGTTTTTAACGGTGTCAGTCTTCCGAATGCGCGCCAATCTTTACCGCGGAATGCCAGATCGTGATGCGTTGAACCAAGCTTTTGCATCCTCTTCCCCGCCTCTTAAGCACGACCTTCCGAAGTTTATCCTGCTCTGGCAATAGCTATGACAATAGCAACAACTGGATACTCTTTCGTGACTGCAAAACGGGTTGTTTCTGGTCGCAGTCGGCAATGCGCTATTCACAAATACCAGGGCTGAACGAAGCAACCAAAGAATCCAGCAAGCATTGCACAGCTCAAGACTTTCCATTGCGCGTCCTAGTGGATCAATTATGCAGTCAGTAAAGGTAGAATACGCACCCCACCACAATCCTAGGCACCTAAATTCTAGCGCTCATCAGCAGCAATGTGCTTCCTCCATGTGACGTAGTCTAGTACACACGCCCTACAGGGCCCATAACCTGAGCGTACCGCGACGGCAAACTGACCGCTTGGTCATCATCAAAAGTGGCTTCGAATACCTGACCATCATACGCATAACGCACATAGCTGCAATTCCAAAAATGAAAGAAATACGTTAGAGATACAACAAGCCGCGAGTCGCAACAGAAACTAGTTCGAACTCTTACAGCAACGGCTTAGCAGTAAAGCTTGATGGCGATCGTGCGTCAGATATTGTTTGGTCTTCGCCGATGCACGGATTGTAGAATCCTAGCAGTCCAGCTTTGGATGCGGAAGATAGAGCAAGCTCTCCATCCTACACATCGTCAAAACAATAACAACTCAGTAGGCTTCGATCAGCTTGAACGTCAACGCACCATTCAATTCCCGTACCTTGACGAAGAACTGAAGAGGAATTGAAACGTCGACCCATTTCTGCTCCAGCACCTCGGCGTCTGCCTCCTGCTGTGCGATGCTATCACCGCTGCCAGGGTCGTCTTCATCACCAAGTTCGTAGTTCAGTTCGCGCTCCGGCATCGCTCGAAGCGCCACATCGAAAGCGTCTCCTCGACCCTCATGCTGGTCGGAGCTCGTCGGGTTCTTTCCATATCGACCAAGCAAAATCACCAACCCCTTGCCATCCTCTCGTTGCTGCTCCTGCTCCATCTTCTCTTTTGCACAACGAAGCATCAGTTTCTGCTGCTCCATCGCACTCTGTCGTGCTGCTGCAAGATACTGCACAAGCATATCATGCCGGCGCTCCAACTCCAGACGACGCTTTCGTTCCTGAGCAGGCCCCACGAGCTGCGTAACGACTGCAGCCACCACAAAGGGCGAGGTGGCTGCACAAAGAGTAGAGAAAGCTGATTGCCCGGAGAACGGAGACAAGAAAATGGGCATCACAAAGCGCACACTCCCGCGAGTGAAGCCTAAACGTAAAGTCACGCCTGCGCGCGATAGCAACACATTCAGTCCCAATCGTGTGCGATTTGAAATGTCTCGACTAGCTCCCGCCACGAACGACAAACCTGTCGCAAGATTTGCCCGCAATGACAATTTGCCCGTCGTCGCAGCCACGAGGGCACGATGAAACTGAAACGTCAAGTTGGGTCCTCCACCATTTATTGCAACAGCAGCCGTAGCATTGTAAGCTCCCGTGTCCTGGCTGAGCGAGCCAGAAAGACCGTCGCGTGTACTCCACATCATTGCACCATGAAGCTGAGGTGTCAGTAGCTGGTTAGCACCCATGGAGATGTCAAGGCCGTTATCATCAAGCTCTGGAATGAGCATGAAGACTGTATACGGCGACACTGGCTGACTAATCTGGCAATTAAGTTTTGGCGCCCAGCCGAGCTCGCTCGAGAGCGTGAACGACGGTATACTCGGATCAAATGACGTGTGCGCTAATTGTGCCGTAAAGCTGCCCATGCCAAGTCCTTTTTTGTCATACATATACCCTCCAAGTGTTAGTGTCGTACTCCGTGACAATGGAAATACGGTACGCTGATGAATCGTCATCTCTGTGCGATCGACAAACCGTGCTCCACTGTCAAATAAACTGCGCATTCCCTGCATTGGCGCCTGCACCAAGTCAGATGCATCTACGGCCATGGACATTTCACTAAACGATGAGAATTGTGCTTCCAGAGCCTGTTGGTTCATGCGTTGCATAACTTTTGCCACGTAATGCTGTACTTCATCCAATGACTTGAAATGAGCCCCTATCACTTGTTGCTGTGTACTACCTTCTTTCTCCAATGCAATCACACCCTGTCTCGTATGCAAATATGAAGTACCAACGTTAGTCACTGTTGTTTTGTACCCATATTCATGTAAAGAGCCGTACAAACGAGCTATGATCAATCAAGACATCCTCAATTATCCACTCACCTTTTCACCGTAACTGTCATAAACCCTTCGCTTAATTGGATCAAAGAGAACCCGATAGGCTCTGTCTAGCACGGCGTATTGCGCATTAGCAGCCGCTACGAGCGACGTGTTGCCGTGACGTTGAGGATGACGATCTGGATGAAACTCACGTGACAGATATAAGAAGCAACTGCGGATCTCTTCACTTGAAGCATCACGAGATACACCGAGAAGCGCGTAGTAATCGCGCTCAAACTGACGCCAGGATGAGGCGTCCAGTGTGGACGCATTGGTCGCCATCACTTAACCGGTAAATAACTGAAATCGTGTGGGCCACGCAAATTTTTGTAAAAAACAACACTTTCGATTGTATACAAACAAACTAGTGCTTTTCAGAATGATGGAAAACATTATAACTTTACTTTATTCATGCAGTGCTTTCTGGACGCATGCAAACCATATGTAGATGATTTTAGGTCAATTTTTAGCCAAGTGGGGCGCTTACAGCTTTGTGTGCCGGATCTTTTGCTTATCATCAGGTGAGGCTGTATATTTTAATTTTTTTAACGAGAGTGGTGATTACCTGTAGGACTGTAATAGTCCCACTTGCTTGTAGCTGAGAAAACCGATCGCTGTCACCAAAGAGAAATATTTGCTGCAGCTGTTGAACGATATGGAGCTAAACAGCAATGCAAAAATGGAGTATAGGACCATCGAGACTAGCCAGTATCAATGCTAGGCCGGTCAAACTGACATCACACCATCGACACAAGTACCACACCTGATAATCACGTTGCTGGATCGCAGAAGTCACCGATACTTCTCAACCTCTGAGTATAGAAGCGTCACTCAATGGCCACGAGTTAGCAAAACTCAAGTCTGTTGGTGATCCAGAACAGTCTGACTATCACGGGATAGATGACGTTGTTGCTGCTGTGCAAATACCGCGTGGTGGCAAGAAAGGCGGCTGGCATTTTATACCAGCGGACATTGAGCATTTGAGAATCTTGCGTCATATAACGGCAAGGGCAAGTGGTTTGCGGAGAAAAATTTGCTCGTTTTGTTTGCTACAAAGTTTTGATCACACCAGCAATTTGGTCAAAGACACAAGCTGTAAGCAAAGGATGAATGTCTCTTTTGCTCGTTGAGCATCGTGACGGCGTCAGCAGACTTACTCGCATAATCGGCGGTATGAAGATTGACCTGACGGCAGATGCGAAGAACGATCCCGTCTCGAAGTTAAGCTGTACAGCAGGAGGTGTTTGCCTCCGCCGGACACCTGTTGTGATCTTAGCAAACCTCGAAACGCTCATGGATATGCTTTGAACACGAGTTTCTAGGCTTCAAGCATTTGCGTTATCTAGCGGCCAACGCATAAGAGCGACAGGACTTTGACCGCACCGCCGAGTGGAAGGATTGCAAAGGACGGTCTTATTAGGAAAGTGCAGAACATGCTTGCTTACTATGTTAATCGAAAGAAGTGTCTTGTTTCGATGACAATGTACGCAAATGCATGGCAAACGATACAGTCATTGTTATCAAAAGTAGAAAAATGGTATCATCTACCCTTTGTGTGTACATGCCTGTTCTCAACACTTTCACTAAAATCTCTCTTTCTTACCGTTTTGATCGATACCGTTTGTATACCATCCAACAAAGCTTTTTGTCAATCTCCCAGAGCTTCCAGCAGGTTAGAAAATATTTGTTGCGCACTAATGCCTCGACAAGCATTATTCACCACGTGGACGCTGCCTGTCACGTGCATAATCAGAGGGGGACTCCGACTTCCGTTTTAATGGGTTCTTTGGCCAAAGAGCATCCTTGAGTTTAAAAAATTTCTCAATCGAATCAGATTCTTTTCGCCTAGAATCATCGTGAAGAAGAGATTTGATCAGCTTCTCCATTTCAACTTCGTCCTTAGACTTTTCACCCATCTGTTTTCCGACATTAAGTATTTCCAGGTAGTTTTTTAATCCTCTTAAAGGCACTGTTAAAATCAGTTCATCCTTCTTCACAGTTGAAAGCTCTTTACCCTCCTCCAAAGTTGAAAGCTCTTTACCCTCCTCCACTGTTGAAAGCTCTTTACCCTTCTTGAGTGCTTTCTCGAAATGATCGAAAACCTCAGCAGGAGAAATGGGGGGCTTTTTATTAGCCCATGACTCGAGGATCTCGTCTAGCATTTGCTTTTTAGGACCCATCTGTGGATATCTTATACGTCCACGAAAGATCTTCTCTATCAACGCTTTATCGGAATCAGAATAATAGGAACGTAGAGTTTTCTTACTCTGTAGGTACAAGTCGTTATAGGCGTCCACGTATTTACTCCATTTTGCCAAATTATCCTCAATAAAGCGATTCTTATCATCATCCACCTTCATGTCTTTGTAAGCTTGTTTTGGATCTTTCATTTCACGCAGCCACTTCAATTGATTACGTCTTGTTCTTCCTCTTAAGATAACGAGACGTTTCAAGAAGAGTGTAGCCCGATCATCATTGCCGCAAAAAGCCTTGAGGGTTTCCTTGAGCTTATCTTCAAAGTTGTAACGGCCTGTTTCGTCAAACGTTTGCATGACGAAGTTCCACCTTTCCAAATTCATGCTGATCAAAAGATTGTTCGCCGATCTGTCCGCCGCTTTGTGAATTCCCAGCACCGTAAAAAGTTTGTCTGGAGATTCTCGTTCAGCGAGCCAATCCTGAAGGCGTTCAGTGCTGGACTTCGACTTACTTTTGTGAACCTTGGCTGTCGGGTCCCAGCCATCCAGCAATTCGTCGAGGTTCTGCTTTACAATATACGTCCCGCCTTGCTTCATTTTCTTAAATTCTTCACCTCCGGCCTTCTTCAGTTGAGATTCGAACGACGCAGATATCTTTTTCCAGTCATTCAGCTTTTTAAATTCATCCTGCAACTTGGCTTGTGCCTCTTGCTCTTTCAGCAACTTGAGTTCTGCCTCTTTCTCCTCCTGCTCTTTCAGCAACTTAAGTTGTGCCTCATTCTCCTCCTGCTCTTTCAGCAACTTAAGTTGTGCCTCATTCTCCTCCTGCTCCTTCAGCAACTTGGATTGTGCCTCTTCCTCCTCTTGCAACTTATGTTGTTCAGCCGACGGCTCTCCTGTTATTCCCATGAATTCTTCAATACCTTTTGCAGCTTCGTCCGGCGTTTTGTTAAGATCAATTAATGCACTTCCCCTCTCTTCTTCGTCAAGTGCATGCTTGTTTGACCTCAGATGTCTCTTGTTAGTAGGCACTTCAGGTAGAGGATGAAGTAATTTGGCGATGCTACGGGATGGCGCAGCATGTGATCCAGAGACTTGACAGGCAGCAATAGCCGCACATAGCGTCGTGAAGTGAAGGTGCATGATTTTTGGTGGTTTGCGGAGTTCTTGAGCTGATCGAGGCGAGTGAGAAAATGACGCCAGAGGGAATAAGTCTCTCGAATCGTCAGGTATACGGTTCAATATCTGTCGTACCTCTGAATTAAGGCAGTTTACGGATGGGCAAGAAGAACTTGTTATTCTATATATTGTCTGCTAATCTTATGCTTATACTTTTTTAATAAGAAAGGGTAAAAGAGACTATAACAATGAATACTGAGGAGATAGCCAGCCGACCTGCAATTTGCATGAGTATTCACCTCCGTGAGGCACACTGATGGCGCGTAGTGATTGAACACTTCAACAAATAGTCTCAAATTGGATTTGTTGCTGTGTCTAAACGCAAAGCAGCGTAAATAAAAGATTCCATGTTTGCATAAGAGTGCATTGTTGTTGCAAAGTGGTGAGTCACTTTGAAAGCCCGCGATGGACTCGCATGGAAGAGCCAGGTACGACAATCAACAAAATGCCTACGTCAGAGTCATGGCGCAACTGGCTTTGGTAAATTGGCATGTCCGTTGTATGGGGAGAACAATTCAGCTTAGTACCCTGTCTGCCAATCTTATCGACACAGAACAGCCAACAGAAACGTCCTCTGAATAACAAAGACGAGTTGGTGCCTCATCCATATATGACAGAAATGATGTGTCTCCGCATATAACATGTAAACTTGTCGAGCGGGATTGGCAGTCCAATTGTAAATGTACTGAAGAAGTTTATCTTTTATTTCTACAAGTGTACACGACGGCTTAATCACTGTACAGACTCGGTTTGCTCGAAGTGGTCGATACTCCACTGGAAAGATCACCGCCATCCTGTTTATCATCAGCCTCCGGGGGTTTGTAGCCTTCTCAAATGATGTGTACTAGTACTAATTTTACCCACCTGCATTATGGACCGTGGCACCTTTCCCGTTTGACCGGGTACTGTCCGCTGAACTTATGCGCAGGCCTGCAAATCTCTTCACGCGATATGTGAAAGTCTGAACCTATGTCTGCATCTACGTCTGTGTCTTCAGTTTACCCGCTTTCTTTTTTCTCGTCTTATCTTGTCAAGTGATCAAAAAGGACGGCGGTAGAAAATGTCTACTTGGAAGAAGCAGAAGTACGGCTTCTTGCGCGCTAGTAGCTCACGGCAATCCGTTGATACGCGCAGCATACGCCAAGCTCGAGATCATTGGTCGTCAGATGAAAGGCACAGGCCGGCCGTGCGTGCTGAAGTCGAACGCAAGCGTTACAAGACGCTCGCTCGGGGCTGCAGTTAGGCCTGCAACAAGAACAACGTGTCTAAGGTCAAGCGTCTCGGTAAAAAGGACCCGACATGGTTCATGAAGGATACGATGATGGCTCGATTGCAGACGGAACGCAAGCGTAAGATGCGCAACGCGTCGATGTTTGCACTACACGACTCAGACTCGGAGCAAGAAGATTACAATGATGCGCCATTCTTAATGGCAAAAATTACTGACGATGACTACGATTTTCTTAGTGTGAACGAGTTATTGAACGATGAGGGTGACTTGGAGGAAGGTAGATGATGGACAGAGACATTGTCAGCAAACTCCACTCCGTAGGTGGTAAGGGAGACGCTGATACACCAGAAATTGAAGAAGGAGATAGGAAGAGGAAGACATGAAAAGAAGTGATGCAGGAAGTTATGATGAAGGTAAACTGTACACGGCAAAGTGGTAGAAGAATGAACACACGCAGGAAGATGCTACGGACAAATGGTCGAAGGGTTCGCGGGTGGCGTGGACTGCTTGAGTTCTGCCAATGGCAAGAAAGTGATACCGGAGCCGATGAACGACTTTGACAATATGACGCGAGAACTTGTCTGTAAAGCCAATGCAAATGAGCGACGAATGTTGCCAAAGGAGGCTGCGAAGGAACGTGACCGTTTTGCTTAACTTGGAAAGGAACGTGTGCTGCATATGCACGGCGCTGATGCTGATGTCATTGACAGCAACGACGCAGAAAGCGCAGGAGTAAGAACGGCAAGAAGACGCCAAAAAAGGACAAACTCGCAGCTTGTCGTAACGCCGCTACCAATGACGATCTAGCTGACGTCTACGCGGTTGATAATTGTTTTGCTGGCGATGCCGAAGTAGAATAGATGGAGAAGGACGCCGATGATGGAGATGATAATGAGGAACTGGACGTGAGCAAGGAGGAAGAATTCGAGGCAGAATCTGTAAAGAGTTTGGACATTGGGAAGGAAGACAAGGTGAAAATGGAAGAAGTGCCGAAAGAGGAGGTAGAGACCGAAAGCGACAACGAAATGGAAAAGCAAAAGCGGTTGCAGGGAGCCGAGGAGACTGCAGCTGAGTTTCCATTCGTCTTTTGCTGCGAAGCATCCTGAAGAGCTGGCAGCAACAAGAAGCACGCACGAAAGAAGTGTGGGGTTATCTTGGAGCGCATAGTGACGTACTATACAACCCACGACTGAGTGTGAAGACTAGATTAACATGAAGCATTTTTTCGCGGTGACTGTGCGCTAGTTCCTAATCTTTGCAGCGCGATATGATGCACAAAAGCATGAGCTGTACTTTGAGCTAACGATGCGTATCATGTTGTTGTGTTTGGTGCAGTTTGACTTGCTTACAAGGTGATTTGACGTGCATTTCCCCGACGTCCGTACCGTTGTCGATCCTTACACCACTTGATGACATTTTCTTTGCTTATTCGCTGCTCGTCGCAGTGGAGGCAGGCAATACAAGTGATCCAGAAATGGTTCTCACGTCCCTTCACCAAGCTTCTTCGTACTGGTGATTCTTATATCTAACGGAGCAAACGTCGAGCTTGAGGATAGATATCCTGTATAGATCAGCACAGATTCACTAAGTGCTTCGTTGGTGTAAACTTGGACAAAATCAGCATCATTGTGACAATAACTGCGCGAGACACAACCCCACGACGCTGGAACCCTCCGCACGCAAACACTATGTTTCATATGGAGCGTACTATCCACTAGCATGAAATAACTCCACAAGCTAAGCCTAGCTGGAATGCGATCCAACCATCTATACGAAAAGCGGCGTCGAAACGGCATTGACTTACTCGAGCAGCAGAGTGGGCGACGAGCGGGGCTTATCGTCTACAACGAGTTCTTGCCCTTAGAAAAAAACTTCCATGGAGTGCAAAACCGAGGAAGCCCGGGCTTAGGTTCAGTTTGCTGCGCAACATCACGCAAATTCAACTCTTGGATCTCACGATAATTCGTCGTCGTTTTGAATTCAACAGTCCTCGAGCAGGCGAGCAATGGTAAAACAGGTCATGGAAGGCAAGCGCTAGACCAAACGCGTCAAGCTACTATCATTCGTGCTGCGCAAGATAAGCAAGAAGCTCCAGCCATCCAATTTAATGGTGCATGCGCGCCTGCTGTGTGTTGGCATGTCGGTTGTGTGCCGCTTGTCATTCTCGCTAATCATTACAAGTACCTGTTTACCGAAGACAACGATCGGCTTGATGATATCGAGCGGCGGACACACGGCACAATCATTGTGGGTAACCACTACAAGTGTCTTGTATTTACGCCCAAGTGAATGCCATCCTGCACCATCCAATCGTGACACCATATCTCGCCCCACCGACCGGTATCCAGCAGATGCAGCTAGAAGATTAAGAAACTGTCGTCGAGTGCAAGATCCTCTAAAGTGTTTCTCCGAATCATGGCTGAGAATTCTCAGCACTACGAGCTTTTGCTGTACGCGGCCTTTTCCATCCAAGCAGACGTCAACACCATGCATGCAGGAAACATTGAGCTGGAGGTGTTTTTATCCAACTGTTTGAATCATTGGAGGTAATCGTTCCTGTGCTGGTGGTAGAGCCTTATCTGTTAGTCCTGTTATGGCGTGAACCTTCTGATGCGTGACTTCCTCTCACTCCCTGAAAGCGTGCTCGACGCTAATTGCACGTACGCCAACGCTATCCTCAGTCCCGAAGATGTCAAGGATGTAACGGCCCACGCACTATGAGCAGTCTTGCAGCATTTACCTCAAGCCACTACTTTCAAGTGAAATGAAGAGGCTTGTACTGCCTGGAATCGAATGGATCACAACAGCGGCAGCAGTTATGGAAGTAGTCATCTCACTGACGCCATATCTGTCCCACCTTCCCGATGAGAATCCCATGTGCCCACTTATTATATGATAAACTGCGCCATGTCGTGGTTTCGCCACAACTCAAGCTGCCCTGGATGCCGCGCCCCTGTCAGTACCAATCTGTATCACACCTTATTGCTGTCACCAAGTTAGACACGAGATACGCTGTCACACTTTGTGCCATTATGAAGATCGAACTGCACAATAGCATTTTCGACATACAAAATTACCACAAGACCGAAACCCATATCCACATTTATTTCTATTGCGCTCTCTAGTGTCATATCTTCGGTCAGGGAAGTCAAATACAGGAATACCAGCTAAACAATAAGTCGGCAATTATTGTTGAAGTGAAGTTGTACCATCTGGTAAAAGAGTCAGTTATTGCATCATATCGTACACTTCGGTATCCTGTATCATACCGGTACAAAAATGTCGTCGTTTGGCACAGCTCAGTCTCGAATTTGCGCTGAAAGACACAGACGTCTATCGAAATGGAGCTACCACTTCCACTATATACGGGCTTTTTTCCACAAATGGTATTGACGGTCGAGGAACTTATGCATTACCGACGATTAGGCAAAGAACGCGTGCTCCAATTGGTCCGTATCATTGACGACGCCGATTGTGTCTACCGCTGGACGGATATAAAGGCACACAATGGACGATGTGTCCAGAAGGCACAATTTATAGATATTGAACCAGTTACGAAGCAATTGGCATCGAAAGAACCATCGACTTTATTAAAGTGCAGTATTCATATTGTGGATGTACAAGCAGACGAAATTCTGCAAGCAATTGCAAAAGTTAAGACACGAGATGCTCGACGAGCAATGAGTTATTTACATGGAGAGGAGGTGCTTGATACACAGACGTTATTGACATTTCCAACGGCGTCCAATCATACAAAACCAAGTTATTCCTATCGTGCAATTAAGTGGAGTCTACTTAAAGCAAGACAAAGGGAAGGACACAAGATGAAGAATCTTGACTTTTGTTATCTTGAATATGCAGGCAAAAGTAAAGCTCAAGACACTGCAAGTAGTGTCGTGGGCTTTTGTATACAAGAATCTATTGCTACAGCTCGGCAAGTACCAACACTTGAGAGATACAATATTTTACGAGGACACCTGGTCCGATCGGGGATTGTGATTACGAAGACACATCAGTCAAATATCTTGAAGGTTACTGCAATTGCACAGATTGATGGTGCAATGGCATCTATTGCAGCAAGACTGACAATGGAGGAGATCATGGTGGACTTTGTGGCAGCAGTACATCGTGTCAAAGGATTGCTCGAACGACAACGGATGGGCAGGTTGCAATACTTGGATGAATGGGACTTTGTCTCTACGAAAGATCGCAAGGCCTGTGCAGTTTGTCTCCGTGGGTTCTATTTCCATCGCAAACATCATTGTACGACGTGTGGAGAGGTCGTGTGCTCAAATTGTGCCCCGTTGCGAGAGCTTGAAGAGCCGCTGGATGAACTAACGCATTGTATGCGGGTCTGTTCGGTCTGTATGGCTCAAGCAGGTAGTCGTCATGATAGCAACACAGTGTCTGGAATTACGGGGAGCGAGGATGATAGGCTCGAAACGACAACATATACGACGAATGTTGGGACAGAAACCTATGTAGGAGGTCTGCGTTATCCGAAGCACCGAGAAATGCAGAGAGAGGACATCGATGAATCGTTGCGTAAATCGTCGCCAAAACAAGCTTTAGTGCGTTCGCCACTTCCGCTATTCCAGCAGCAACATCATCCTTTGTCCGGCCACAGTGACGCCCAGATGAATGATTTTGAGGATGCTAGGAATACACAGTACCCGCGAGAGGTGTCCGAATCAGCACGACGGGAGCAACAGTCAAGTGTACTACGTCATTTGACATTTTCTTCTTCGACAATGTCGGCTCAAGCTAAAAAGGAGGCGCTTAATAAGCTCGTGAAACATGTTCGCCAAATTCGTGACACGATCAATATAGCCATTTCAGAGGCGGAGGAAGAGGAAGAACGCCACAGTTTGCTTCTCGAAAGCGGTCATGGAGAACCGGATGCTGGTGCAGAGCAGCACGATGGGATCTTTGACCGCATTATGAAAATTCGCGATACACTTGACGTATCTAGCTCCGATTTTGACGCTGTGCTTGAGTCTATCAGCCATAACGACACTGTGTGCCCATCCGACGCACATTCAGATCGGCTGGATAGTGACTTAGCCTTTAGCTTTGGCGAGGAAACAGGCAGCGAGCACACGAGCGCCATAGAGAGTGAAAGTACTGAATTTGGCTCGTCACGCTCGTCCTTGTTGTCGGCATCTCTGCACTCATTGGATCATCAAGATGCTGGTGAACCATTGCCATTACCGACCCCAGAGCAAGAAAGTGCCGTTGAAGAAGCGCGTGCACTAGAGGAAGCAATGCAGTGGGTTCGTCAGTCAGAACCTACCACAACTTTACGACCACCTCGTCCAGCTCCATTAGTAGTCGTGCGTACCAAGATTGACGATGAGACTGATCCGGAGCCGTTCGCAAAATCAGCACCGGCACCTACTCCGATTGTTAATGTAAGTAAAAATCGTGGGATCGAGCGGCTTGCGCATAAGATCGGACGCCTTCATCAACGTCTCGAGGCCACGCAGTGTAAGTCTGAGGCAACCAGCAGTGATCCGATGTCCGTTGTAGCTAGTCCTGTTACGCCAACTCCTCTGGATGTGACCGCTGTCAATGATGAGGGAGATAGAAACGAAGATGACGAACCTGAACCTGAAGAGCAACCTACACCATATCGATCCACAGCGATTCCGGCTTTGCAACAGTCTCGAGGGCCCGCTACGATAGATTTTCGGAAAGAGAAGCAAGTGGAAATAGCAAATGAAGAAGTTCCGTCTTCTTCGTCGACTACATGGAAAAAGCCGAGCCCCCAGAGAGTGTGGCTATCTGATCCATCTCGTGCTTCTTCTGACCTCATAGCAGGTTTACGTGGTGTCATGAACTCGAGTGAGCTTACACATGCGCCTCCGCGTCGACGTCCTGTGGCGTCACCACTCGAAACACCATCCAATAGCCCGTCTTTGACTACGGCTCCTTCACGCAATTCTTTCCCCGTGACATCGAGGAGGACACTACCTTCAGCGGCAATCCCATCGTTTAGCTCTACTCGACCAACTGCGAGGGCATCTTCAGCATTGACGCCCGCCCATGGCACCACAATTTACGTGTTTGATCCCGAGGATCGATTTCAAAAGGTACAGAGACGAAGTCTTGGTCACCGGCCTCCTAAATCTACCAACGCAATGACAGCGAGACTCGATGATCTTCCGGCCAGTAACGAAGACGACGAACACGAGCACAGTGGAACTGGCATTTGCTTATCACGTCCAAACGAAGAAACAGGACAAGCGCGGAACTCGACAGCTGCAAATTCACTTTCGCCTGCTTTAGCGTTGAGAACCGATCGTCGAGTAAGAGTTCGCGATGAGAGTGGCGAGTTGCGCGAGTTGATGGAGAGTCTGGCAAAAGCACCTTTACGCCAGCGCTGCTCGAGCGGACAGTCTAGTGGCGCCCCTCTTACTGAGAACTTTGACTTGTAAATATATGATTCTTCCGACGTATTATACTTTTTTGCAAGTAGTATTCGTAGTACTATATTACATCATAAATACTACTATTATAAATCGATTGCCTCTCAATCTTCACCATGTTTTGATATGGGTAAAATACTGCTACAAAAGGCACCGGTTGTGTTACAGACAGAAAATGGGTACAATACACAAATAAGACCTAAGCACGAATGAAAATAGACCCCAAAAACGTCATGGGTACAGTACAATACTACCATATGGATCATCTGGTATTCCGGATACCGACGATCGACCTCCGCATATTACTATACTTTCTTTTCACAGTTTTCAACAAGTCAGTTTTTCCGCCCTATACTGCAATCAGAGGCCACTAATCAAGCAGTCAAGTATACATTCTACAAGATAAAACGTATACTTACTATACACCGTACTCCCTTACCTCAAAGGACCTTCCTTCCTGTCCCCTTCCTGCCTTAGCAGTCCGTGTTAGCTCAAGTACGAGTAATTAAACCATTGTCTATTCGTCTCGTTACTCTGTCTTGTCATTAAACTACTTCTACGACGAGGGATTAGTCGTTGAAAAGCCCACGAAAGTGAAGCCATCAATCAAAACCCGTGACGTATACAGGTAATTTGTATACATGGATGGATGGAGACAGACGAGCACAAGAGAATCCACTTGTAGGCAGTTTTCAACTTGCCATTGACGACCGTCTTCATCCCTTCCGTCCATTCACAAGCGAAAGACCTCGTCCTGTTGTTCCGTCTGTGTCCATTCATCGTCCTAAAACCTCTCTAACAGACTTAAAAAAAAGTATTGACTTTGGTTTTTTGTATACGTCTATTATCTTGTTTTTTTTCTCTTCTTTAGGTGGTGGATATTATCCAAAAGATAAATTGGGATTTTTTTTTCATGACGATGGAATTTGGGTCTAGTACCGTATTATCTCCTGACAAACGCTCGTATGTGGAAAAGGAAAAGACAAGAAGAAATGAAGACGATGAAACAATTGGAAGGACCCGAGACAACGCTGACGACGAAACCGTGGCATTGAAAAATCGGAATTTTGAATCATCCACTCTTTTTCGTTTTGGAAAATCGGATTTTTTTGCTCCGATGAAATATAATGAAGAAGAAGTGACGGCGGCGTCGTCACCAGCAGAAAGCAGTGATGAAAATGTGGGAAAAGAAGGGGCCGATGATGAAAGTGCAGGCGAGACGGTCGAGAAGAAGGAGAGTTTGCCATCATGTGTTGTATCGCCATCAAATCAAGTGAGACATGAAGAAGAAGAAGAACATGGAGAAGATACAAACAATGAAAGTGAAGGAACGAACGGGTCGAGTGATGGAAGAGGAAGAATAAGTGATAGAAAAGCTCACAAATCTTGTCGACAAATGGAAATGCTGCCGTCGCACACGAGTCGACGAAAAAGCAGCATTGAGATGTTTCTTTCGCAGTCACCGAGTCAAGCATTAGGTGGTGATTTTTTGAAACTGAGTCTGGATGATCGACAAATGAGTCTACAGACGACCGAACGTGCTGCTAACGATGTTACTAGTGGTTCAGGAAGCAGACCGAATGCAGCTCAAAGTGCCAATGTCTCATACGCTACTGGTCGATTCCAGCTTAATCCAGTACAGGAGTCGCCGAATAAGTATGCCTCGTTGGGTGGTCATTATCGTCACCAGCAATCGCCAGCTGCCGCTCCGCAGCCTCAGGAGCGCTATCGCGATGCCCAACCACAGCAATTGCCAACATCGCGTTCACTTGCATGCCCAAGCACGGTGCCAGGTAATAGTACTGCTCCGAACGTTACTTACAGTGGAGCTTATACGCTGAGCCCGCGAATGTCGTCGGAAGATTCTTGGTCGGGCAGCCAAGACGGAGATAACATTGCCTATTACCACGAGCAGATGCAAGAGTACTACCGCAACAATCAAATGGTAGTGTCCTATGAGCAACCGCAGTATCGTCATCAGCCGCAGCAGCCACAACAGTATCGGTCACCGCAGACGGTTAGCGGATCTTACCACTACAATGGAGGCCATTCTCGGGCACCGATGAATCCAGGTCAGTGGAACCCGATGGTGGTAGGACCACACCCACCTTCTGGCATGTATGACGTTGGTGGAAACATGTACATGAATCCGCGCGCGAGTCCTATGAGACATCCTCACGCGCAGATAGGCTATGGGTCGCAGCATCAGGGCTCAATGGGAATGCGCGGTGGAGGTCACTCGAACAGTCGCGCGCAAGGTCGCAATATGTACTCACGTATGACACCACCGCTCCCTGAGTCGTCTCCTCCGCATTCGCCTCGCAAGAGCATGGGAGGAGGAATGCAAATGGGAATGAAGCAGTGCAAATTTTTCTTGCAAGGCCATTGTCGTATGGGTAGTAAGTGTAAGTTTGTGCACCAAAGTGGCGCTCCGACCCCAGAACACATGGGTGGCGGTCACAACTCAAGCCGTCAGAATAGCTCGATGATGTATCAACAAAGCCGGATGATGATGTTGTCTCCGTCTCACATGATGCAGCAGCAGCAGCAGCAGCGCCTTCAGATGAATGGTGATGATGCTGGTCACCAACTGAATGTACCATTTGGAGGACGTCAGCAGTCTCGAATGAGTTACCGTTCGGAAAATTCTGGTGCCAGTGGTATAGGTTTGGGGTTAATGAACGGCGGTAGCATGAGTGCACCGATACTGGGTGGCTCTGCGAATGACCCGTCGAGTTTGAGCGCTGCACTGAGCGTAGAAGACATTCAAAACCGTGTGTTTGCCATGTCGAAGGACCAAAACGGCTGTCGACTGTTACAGGAGCAACTCGACTACGAAGATCGTTCCGATCTATGTGAGGTGATTTACCACGAATCGCTCGAGCACCTTGCCGAAATGATGGTTGATCCGTTTGGCAACTACCTCTTTCAGAAGCTTTTAGAACGTGTAAATGAGAAGCAACGACTTGTAATTATACGCCGCGTGAGCTCAAATCTTGTGGCTGCTGCACTGAATCTGCACGGTACGAGGTCAGTGCAGAAAGTAGTGGAAGTGTGCGCAACGTCGTCAGATGTTATTGAGGAAGATTATGACGAAGAGGATGGAGACAACTGTCGTTATGTGAACAAATTTGAGAAGTCTCCTGAAGATGGTAGTCGACGGCGAATGACCAGTTTACCTGATATTATTGTTGAGGCGCTCAAGGACGATGCTGTTCGCCTGTGCATTGACTCGAACGGCAACCACGTGATCCAGCGTGCTCTGCAATTCATGAAGCCGGAGTACAATCAGTTTGTATTTGATGCTGTGTGCAAGGAATGTACTACAGTTGGAACACATCGTCATGGATGTTGCGTTCTACAACGTTGCTTGGACGCAGCCAACAAGACGCAAAAGGCAGATATGATTGAACAGGTGGAGCGCCAGGCAATGAAGCTGATGCAGGACCCTTATGGCAACTACGTTGTACAGTATGTTCTTGACTCGTGTACGGCTGAGGAGGCTTTCGGTGTCATTATGAAGCCGTTGGGCCACATCTACGAGCTGTCGGTGCAAAAGTTTAGCTCAAATGTGATTGAGAAGTGTCTTGAAAAAGCCCCCGAGCGTGTGCGTCAAAAATATATTGCTGAGATCACGAACTGCTCGAAGATGAACAAGATGCTGCAGGACCAGTTTGCTAACTACGTCGTACAGCGTGCCCTGTGTGTTTGCGCCGAACAGCAGTGTCTGCTACTGGTGAAGGCAATCCGTCCGCACCTAGCAGCTATGAAGAACACGTCGGGCGGTCGTCGTATCACGGCGCGTATTCTTAAGCGCTTCCCGAACATGGACATCAGTATGGATATGGGCATGTCGCCAACTGCGGATTATTTGTTCGATCATGGCGGTAATGGCATGATGATGCGCCATTTACCAAGTTCGTCTATGGGCGAGTACATGCCGCAGCAGCGCTTGCATAGTCATATGGTTGCTTCTCATCACTTTCAAGGAGGGAACCGTGGCAACCGAATGCCGCAGATGCATGGCAACGATGGCAGTATGATGATACTAAATGATGTGGGTGGTATGGGTGTGAATGCTACGAGTCGTGCGTAAGAGAGCCGTTTCAGCCAGACGATGACTATTCACCAACAGAGGCTTTGGTGTGATGAAGTGGATGAACCAGGTAAGGGGGAGCGTGTGGTGTATGAACGACTGTGAAAGCGAAGAGTACCTGGTAACGCTGAAAACGGGAGGACGCGTGGGTATGATGACAGGGCGAGGAAGCAAACGAGAAGCGGAAAGGACCAAAGTTTTGCGCGTTTGTAGATAAGACGATACAAAAAGAGGAGAATGCATGTTTAGGACTTGTATTAAAGCAAAGAAGAAGGAAGAGCCTGTGACAGCGACGATGGTGAGCGGCAAGTGGAGGAGTGGAAGTGAAGGCGAAAAAGTGACGACAATATGCTGTACCAGTAAGCCGCCACTCCGCCACTGAGTTGAAGACGAAGATTGTGGTGAAGATGCCGCTTGCCATTTTTGCTCCATGCTTTGGCTCCGACACATAGGCATTAGGAATATGACCATAGCAATGAACGAAGAAACTTTTTGAAGGACAATGGTGGTCTGTAGATCTCACAAAACAGTATGTATGACATGTTTCTTAGGTCATGATTGACCATTGTTGGCTATGGGCGTCCATTCGTATTGCCGGGGGTCAACCATTTTGTAGGTATCGAGACTCTTTGGTGATGTTGTGGTAGACGTGGTTGTCTTGAAGTGCAAAATAGTTTTCAGGATGGTGGTGATGCGAAATCAGTCGCGTCGTGATTGGGGATGATACGAAAAGACCGAGACTTTCGTCTCATATGTACGTGACTTTGACACCGCTTCTTAAAAACCAGAGCACAGGTCCAAAGTCCGATCAACACTTGAGTCAAATTGGTACTTACGTCTGCATTGAAGGACGTTGCTGTTCATCCGACTAATTTCCGTGACGTCGATGCTTGGTGGGACGATTGTACGCGTCGAGAGGCAGTGAAACCACTGCGGATCGAGTCGAGGCGTACTGTTTGGATACTTTCGACCCGTGAGCAAGATCTTCCCATTTCAACAATACACGCGTTATTCGATCACGAAGATCACGGATTTGCTGAAGCACCTCGCGCTGGGATGGCGCTGTTAGAAGGCTTGATGCAGCAGGATCTGTCGTGGAATGCTGTTCCCAATCGTCCAACAACGGTAAGAATCGTTTACGCATGCGCAATGTACCATCAGCCAAACTTCGAAACAGCGCGTCGTTTTCAGAAGACTCCTCACAAACCTGCTTCGACACTTCGACAGTCAGGTGATAAGACGAACTGCCGAGACCGTAAGCCTGTACGATATCGTTGATATCCATTTGATCGCTGTCAACATCGTCAACATCGCAACTGTAGCTTAGAGAGCTATCACGAGTGTCACCGCTATCTGTCGGTACATTTTCCCACTCGATATCCTCCTCCTCTTCATTTGCTCTTGCTGCTGATGGTATAGCCACTTTTTCCCATTCAATGGTACTAGTATCATCCTCGTCGTGTTTTTCGCTTCCATCTATGTCACCATATGCGTCATTTCTCAATGTCTCACTGTGCTCTTTTTTGCTTACTGCATTAGCATTTTCATCAGCCGCAGAAAGCGTCAATTCACTCTCCTCTTGATCATCTGACACTAGAAACGTATCCATCGTCGGCACTAGAATCTCAAAAGCACGATTCATTTCTACCAACACGTGCTCCATTTCCACCACATATTGCTTCATTTCTCGATCTCGTTGCAGTTTTTTCACACTGATCACACGTTGACGGTTTTGACGAGCATTTACCTCTTGTTTTCTCTCCTGTTGCAACCTCTCTTGTTCATTTGGAAACTCATAGCCCCTATCCACTAATACTGCATAACCTGCTACAAGTGATGGATACCTCTCTCCAAAGTCTTGTTTCCACGTTTCAATGAGCATTAACACCATTTTCACTTGTTTTAAAGCACGATTTCGACCTCGCAATGCTCTTGAAACATTGACACTTGGATTTTCACCTGCTGCAATTAACAATTGATCAAAAAAGGCTGCTGATTGTGTCACAATAAGTGCTCGAAATACTGCTGACCGCTTGAAAATTTCACGACATAGGTCCAGTACCTACACAAACCCCATTGATTATTTCAACTAACATAAATCAGTAGCTTGAACAGGACTCTTATATAAAAAATATTATATGAAATGAACAAACCCTGGATAAAATGATAGGCGATTTAATGGCTCGTTTTGATTGGTATAAAATCATTGCATACAGTTTTGGAATATACTGCGATTGTGTTGCAGCATCGCGTAACAGCCGCTTCAGTTGCTTCAAGTAAGTTGCCGGACTAACCTCAGCATCCTTAGCCGAAATGTAACGTGTTCCATGGTTTCTTTGACGTTTACCAGCAGCATTTGAGATACGAAAATACTTTGAAAGCACGTCATCAAAGCAAGCAGCTTCATTTACAGCATTAAGTGCATGAATACCGGTCGAAGCGTTACGTTGGGACGACATTATAAAAATGGGTCAAAAACCAATGTCACTGTTTCAAGGATGTACCTAAAAAGTCATTCAAACGAGGGTCCTCGAAATAAGGACAAGAATAAGTCCTCACCATTCAAAAAGAGGACCTATTATCATGGGGAAGAAGCGAATGGATCGAGACCCTTCGTCACGTCAAGACCGTAGCCGTAATAAATACACTGAAGCCATTACATCTCGTGGAGATGAAGAGAGTGAATTAAACTACCGACGTCGTGCATTTCCAGTGACGTTACGTATGTGGGATTTTCAACAATGTGATGCCAAGCGATGTACCGGTCGAAAACTCTGTCGTTTGGGGTATATCAAGAGTATGAAACCTGGTGCCCATTTTCGAGGACTTGTGTTGTCTCCTGCAGGTGAACAAGCTGTTTCTCATGCTGATTTGGATCTTGTAACAAGCTCAGGTATCTCGGTAATTGACTGTAGTTGGGCTAAAGTCCAAGAATTGCCATACAAACAGCTACGCTCGGGTGTTCACCGTCTTTTACCATTTCTAGTTGCTGCTAATTCGGTCAATTATGGACGTCCACATAAATTGTCATGTGCTGAAGCAATTGCAGCGACGCTGTATATTGTAGGACTTCAAGATGAAGCAATTCAAGTCATGGACGAGTTCTCGTGGGGTGCTGAATTTCTGAAAATCAATGCAGATTGTTTACAAGCTTATGCAGCTTGTACGAATAGTGCAGAGGTGGTAGAAGCTCAGGTGAGGAGGATAGAGATGTTATAATGTTGGTGGTAATGTGAGTGGTAGTACTGATGATGAATGGGATGTTTTGTTTCTGGAGCTAGAATGCCTATTTAGCTGCATGTCAGACCGAACAAAAGGAACGTCAGCAGCATATGGACTTGCCGAGTCTGGAGAGTGACGAAGAGGACGAAGAAGAAGAGGAAGTGGAGCTTGATCGTTTCGGCAATATTATACCTCGTGAAAAGTTGACATCAGTGCAGACTGAGGAAAAGTCGTTTGAGCACGATTCTTCCGACGAGCTCAAGCAGTCTGTCGATATGTCGTCCATGCTGCCGTCTCGTGAACAAAGTGAACAATTAGACTCCGATGAAGAGATTACCAGTTTGACAAAGAATTTGCACCTTGCAGCAGACTCAATCAAGAAAACGCAGCAAATGCGTGAGAAAATTCGAACTGCTCGTGGTTTGGACGGAGATAAAGAGGTGTATGCTTTTTCTTCCATGGAAGATGTCCATCACCAACAAGTAGCGACGGTTTGTTTGGAACGCACAGCAGTGGCTGTCTCGGGTGATGCAGTTTTGCAATTACCAAAGTCTGTTTTCCATCAGTGGGAACAAGATGCTCGAAAGGCTTCGATCCAGGATCATGTGGAGGCTGAATAGCTGATTATTGAGCATCTCCTGTAGTGAATGCACTTTTTCTTGGTTTGAAACGTGAAAAACCCAAATAGATGGTAAAAAATCCACTAAAGGGTCCAAAAAACCCCACCTCAGTTATGTCATTATAATGAGGCAACGAGAATGAATGACGTCTTTTTCAACTTCATTCCCGAATATTCATTCAAAACCACATCATTATGAGCGTAAGTTGTGTGTATGATTATCTCGATCGAGACGCAGATTGATATCCTCTCGTATCTCGTATCGTCCTCTCCATCTTCTTTTCTATATAACAATGTATTTACCTGCTCAATCTCATACAAAATGAATCGTTTATTCTCCTTTTTATTAGGACCCCAAGGCGATCAAGTCCCAAATGTCAATAGAACAGGCACAACAGCAGCAAATAAAGCAACAGTAAGGAAAATAGAGTACTCTAATTGTATGTAGTTAGGTTACTTTATTTTTTTATTGTATTTTTTGACCAATAGGGAGCAAGAACAGATGCATCAGTCGGTCCTGCAACAAGTGATGCTACCCAGTGCCCGTGAACGTCGTACGTGGTGTTGATGAATCTTATTGGTTGATAAGATGGTATCTTTCATTTTTTGATTGGGTAATTTTTGAATGATTCTGTGGTTGGGGGTTACGATATAGTCGCTCGAATCGCAATTGTCAAGCCAGAAAAAGCACGGGCGATTGAAGAAATGGTGATTCAAATGGCTCAGCGTGGTCAATTGGCTACAAAAGTTGATGAAGAGAAACTCATTGATTTGTTGAATCAAGTGGGTGTTACGGAGGAAAAGCAGCGCGTCAAAGTCACGGTATGGAAAAAGAATTTTGGACGGATGGTTTTTTTGTTTTGGCTCGTGGTGGTGGTTTTCAGCTAATTTGTTGTTTTACGATGGGATGATGTGCTTGTAGATCAAGCGACGGACGTACTTTAGTGATGAAGAAGACGACGATGATGATGATGACTTTTAAGTCGGTTATGACGAGCTGCTTTGTCGTGATGACCAGCAAAAGAAATTTGGGGAATGAAATGATGTCTTCTGCATTGACATTTGTTGCATTTTTGGCTGGGAAGGACGTGATGGACTCAAGGTGAATATTTTTGTCGCTTCAATATTATCAATTTCGGATGGTGTCATTTATTCTCAAAACTAAGCGTGAAATTTGATGCTTTTCGCAGGACCAGCACTTGATTATACCCCGCTGACGTCTAACGACCGAAGTAGTTGTTTGTAATGCGTCAATAGACTCGAATTTTTGCGCTGCTGAGGAAGTGCTGGCTGAATTTGTATTAACAATCTCACTATGCATTTCGTGTTCAATATCCAGGATAGTGGGGAACAAAGGCCTCGAAAAAACTGATACTGACGATGTGGAAAAAGTCAACGTCAATGAAGGATATAAAGGTTTGATGCTGTATGAAGTACCGAATTTTTTTTTTCCATTTTTTTTTTGGGTGTTGGTTTTTTTCAATTTTTTTTGGCTATTTACATCATCACCTCGGTCGATATTCCGCTCAAGTTATTTTCCTCGAACACAGCAGACTGTAAGTTTGCAAGTTTTTGCCGTCTCAATTTTCATGTGCCTCCATCGTTCAAGTTGCTCAGGAATTCTCGCATTGACACCGTTCATATTTCGTGACATTCACGGATGTCTCCACGGATATGCAAAGTCTACATGGAGTGACGCTAAACTTAGCGTTACGCACTTGACAATGTTCACTGAGGCGATGGTTTGTACATTCTGTCGTGTACGTATGAGCGACTATAGATGGAGGAAAATCTAGTAGACTGGAACTTGACGGAGCAAGAAGAAGCCAAATCCATGAGTGCTGTTAACTTGCATTCTCATGACGAATGCTCGATACTCATGTACAATATTGTGCTCGTGAACTTCTTATTGAGTACGACATGGTAGCCATTGAGTGTGCTAGGTAAGCTGGTATGAGAGCTCTTTGATGGCTAAACGCTCAAACTAGACATGAGAGGATTACGTTTGTCGGGGCTTTGACAGTTATCAACTGATGCACCTCACTAAGTGAGACAGCCGGAATCGTTTTTGAATCTACAATATGGATGGATATGAAATGTCTCTAGCCAGGGGGATCAGGGTATCCCCCATGGCTGGTTTTGCAAAAGTGAACAAGTAGAATATCAGACGGCAATTGACTAACTTGGTGGACAAAGCAACTATTAGAAGAAATGGTGATGGCATCGCTGAAGTTTTGGGCGTCTTTGATTAGCTGCAGTGCGAAAATACTGTTTTTCTACGAATTTACTCACGTGAACGCCGCAATTCTATAACAAGGCATCGGACGATGTTATTGCGTGTGGGGTTATCAACAGCCGACATCAATGCATTGCTTTTTTAGCCTTGGACGTGACCTTCACGACCCCCATGATTCAAGCATGAAACCCGTCAATGCCATCATCTCGGTTGCCATTCTCTATGTCGATCACCGCGTCCATTCCGAGCATTTACGTCGCATCAACACATTTCACGTCCATCTCAATGAGGGCTACAATGATTCGTGACACTCTTATAAACCTCTTGTTCTTTTACGGCAATTTTTCTTACCGATGCGAGCTGTTAATGACACACGCAAGGACCGCATATTTCAGCGAGACACCGAAGAACTTTCAAGTCCATTGCGGGATGTCAACAACACAGCCGCATAACGCTGCTGTATCAGTAACGGCGCCTTGTTTCAGCTACAACTTTTTTTAGGCGGGTCAATTCAAGCTTTTTCCATGTCGTGTCGTGTTACATCCTGAGATCGAGCGATATCGACTGCTTCTGCAGCTGCTACATCGATTCAAGGTCCTACACTGCATTGTTTAAGCTGAGATGCCTGCTTAGCAGAGATGCAAATCGAATGCTGCATTATCGTTGAGCTTTTTATTAATCTAGTCGGGCTCTCAGTAGATTCTATGGCCGTCGATGATAGCAACTAGCTGAAGCGCTCACAAATCAACCTGATCAGTTATTCGACAACCTTGACGCCTTCTTTCGACCCAACAGTATCGACATACGCCACAATGATCGTGATATCGTCAATAACTTGCTCCTCTTTCATCCAGCGCCGATTGGCTTCCTTGATTAACAAATTCACAGCCACTTTGGGATCTCGCTGTCCCATGGCCATCTCCATGCATTCTTCATTCGACATAAACTCCCACAACCCATCCGTTGCTACAATAAGACATCGGTCACTTTCATCCAGCCAGCGCGAGGTAAACTCTGGTTCCGACAACACTCCAGCAGTGTGTGCAACGGTATCACCCAGTGATCGTGACATGGCTAGACCTGGAACATCCCTATGTCCCAACCAAACACGAGAAGGACCATCAATACCATCGTCGTACTCGACTGGAAACACTCGTCCACCACTAGCAAGAATCCGTGCTTTTTCATCCGGTCGATCTGGTTTGTGATCAATCGACATTTCTTGACTTTCAAGAACTGCAGGACCTGCTAAGCCCAACATTTTCACAAAGCCACGAACGATTCGTGAATCCCCAACGTTACCACTAACAACGAGATGGTCACGTACGACACTCACAAGTGCCGTTGTGCCACTAAATTCCGTCTGAATCCTCGAATCCCTTAAAACAACCTGTTCCATCGATTCCAACGTGTCTGCAATAGCAATTTTCAACTGTTTCGCATCCTGCTCGAGATTTCCGGATCGGTGAAATTTCGCATGGGCAAAGAGCTCCAGTGCAAACCGATCTTGCATTAACATTGCAACAGCATCCCCAGCTTCTCCATGACCGTCAAAGACACCCAATAAGAGCGTTTGGGACTCGAAATCGTATTGAATTACCATGGCATCCTGGTTTTTCTTTTGTGGATTGTAACAAGCATAACCTTTTTTTGAAAAGCCAGAAAATGCGACCACGGCACACGTTCCATCTGCTTTCAATTGAGTATTATTAGTATCGATTTTATCCATGGACATCGCTTCCAAGGCATTGACAAGGTGAGTCTCATGACTGACGCTACATAATTGACGAGTTTGGAAGGAATTTGGACTTTTAGTGGATACTTTAACAGGAGTTTTAGTGGAAATCCCTTTAGGTGAAGTTATATTGGTGAGAATGGAGTGGCAAAGTTTAAGGGATTGAGATGTAGCCATGAGGATGGAGAAATATTTTATATGGATAAAAAAAGAGTGCAATGGGGTAAAAACTTGAATGATTTTAATACAAATGCTACAGTATGAGGAGGTGTATGTTTTGTTGATATGTATCTATGTATAGGTTAGGCGTTTTTCTCATATCCTTGGAAAAAAAAAGGAAAAAAAGACATCAGGAAGCGTCGTATATGACTAATTAGAAGTATGGAGACGGAGTGATATTACCAGATAAAGGTCAAAATACCGTTAGATGAGATACAAATAGCGCAAGTGATACGGCGAAATTTGTCTCATTCACTTATTTCAATGCATTTTGTCTCTTGAAACTAGTACTACTAACTTATTTCAGTAAAAGATCTTTATAAGATACCGAGATCGCAAGGTAGCATCAACGTCACTAAACCTAGCCATTCACTTGAGTGTCAGTGTGTAGCCATATAAGGATGCAGCAAAGGTGTAGCCAGGTGACGTGCAGCAAAAGTGTAGCCATTGGAACGAGATTACTTAGTCGCTATCTCTATCGTCTTCGGATGACGAGAGGCTAAGTGAAATTGTGTTTGGAGCTTCTTCATCACTGTCACTCGAGTCACTGGAACTTTCACTTTCAGCAGTCCCGTCATTTTCACCTTCTTCCAATTTGCGTTTCTTGCGCAAAGTCTCGACATCATCAACCACCTCGTCGTCGTACAAAGCCGCTCGCTTTTCCGGCAGCTTGAATTTCTTACGCAAAATCTCCATCGCATCGGTAGGCAATGCGTCACCCATTTTCCAAGACTCTGGCAGGGTAATCCCGTGTTCGGTAAAGAAATTTCGACCCATGTAGTGCAGCAATGCATCAAGTGGTAGATCAACTGGGTCGCCCGGTTTCCATCCTGGTGGCATCTGCTTACGAATCTGCGCATCACTTGCACCCAATCCAATTGGAATATCAAGTTTCTCAATATCTTCATGGCCGTCTCCTTCCTGCTTCACTCGAGCTGCAGTTGACGTGTATAGCTCCGGACCCTGCGTGACAATTTCAGCGACAATCCCACGACTTAACACACCTGCACGCATCATATGTTCCTGTGGTGCTGGAGGCATAAAGCCAAACATTGGAAACTATAGTATCCACGTGAACAATATACCAAAAAACATATTACCAACAAAAGCATCACCAGAAAAAAATAATCTTAAATTCCAAAACGTACTCCAGGCTGCCACTCTTTCGGTGCTGATGTCGTGCCAGCAATACGGTGTGCATAAGCGATAAGATCACGAGGATCCAGCACCACTACAACCACAAAAATACCATCACAACAACAACAAAAAAACAATAACAAATCAATCTACAACTTCACTTTTTCGTACCAAAACCTTGTCACCTTTAGCTTTTTCCTTGGTATTTTGCAGCACGACACGATGTTTTCTCAACACCTGAGCAACATTTTCTTGTGATCGATGCAATTGAGTTGCATATTCAACAACTTTTTGTTTTTTATTTGCAATCTCCGTCTTAATCCGAAGCAATTCCGTTTGAGCCACTTGATGTCGAGATACTAAATAAAAATCATGTCAAATTCGTCATAAAAAGTCGTATTTTCATCCATTTTTCGATGAAAACGTACATTTTTTCACGGCTGCTAATAAATTTCCATCTTTTGCCAATACTTTTTGAAATGTCTCAGTTACGGTACGTAATCTTGTGGCTGTAATTGTCGAAGGAGGACTACATTTTAAAGGTACTTTTTAGTAATTTTAAGGTACGATTTACAATCTAAAAAAACGTTCGAATGCCACCACGATTCATGGGTTATAAAAAACATACAGCGACGCCGTATTAAGGGACTCGAGTAACTTGGTAACAAGGAAACGATGTTCATGTAGCGCCACTTCGACTTCTTCACGGATACTTTCACCCATGTAGGGCATTGGCTATTACTGTATTGGCTTAAAATAACACTAGAGAATTAAATTTTCATAGAAATTTGATAAAAATTACCTTCGTTTTGCTCTTTATCTGTAAGAATCCCTTTTTTTCGTCCGATTGGATGTATTTAATATTTAGTACCATTTTAATAGCATTACTCCATTTTACTGACGGTAGAAACACGCTAAAAATGACTGGACGTCATGGCTTGGCTCACTTATTGCTACTTGGCGTGCTCTTCCACGCCGTGTACGTAGTTAGTATCTTTGATATCTACTTTACATCGCCTGTAGTGCCTCATATTGAAAGTGTAACGTATACAACGTCTCCTCCTGCCAAACGTATTGTCATTTTTGTCGCTGACGGTTGTCGAGCAGACAAGTTTTTTGAAACAAATGCTTCGTCCGACGACACGACTGCACGTCGTGTGTCATTTTTACGTACAATAATAAAGACTACAGGTAGTTGGGGTGTCAGTCATACCCGAGTCCCTACAGAAAGTCGTCCTGGTCATGTCGCACTTTTTGCAGGAATGTATGAAGATGTAAGTGCAGTGACAAAAGGGTGGGCGGATAATCCCGTGGATTTTGACTCGATTTTTAATCAAAGTCATCGTAGTTTTTTATTTGGGAGTCCAGATATTGTGCCGATGTTTACTCGGCACGTGGCACATGCAGTTGAAGAGCATTATTCCCATGCTGAAGAAGATTTTGCAAAAACAGATGCTTCGGAATTAGATATTTGGGTTTTTCGTCAGTTGCAACAATTGATGGCAAACGCAAAATTGGGCTCGACATTGTATCATCAATTACAGGAGACGCAAATTGTCATTTTTTGTCATTATTTAGGAATTGATTCAAATGGACATGCCCATCGACCTAATTCAAATGATTATTTGAATAATATTGCACTCGTGGATGAACTGGTTGAGAAAACATATCGACTTGTGGAAGAATTTTATGAGTATGATGAACGAACGGCATATATTTTTACAGCAGATCATGGCATGGGATTGAAAGGAGCTCATGGAGATGGTGATCCAGCAAATACACGGACACCTCTTGTGGTTTGGGGAGCTGGTGTACAAGGACCTATTGAGGTGAACGGAAGTGGAAATTTTGACATTGATTTGCCCACGCAGTCTCGAACACAAGTTCGAGCACAATTACAAGCACAGGAAGAGCAGGAACAAGCAGCCGTGAAAGAATGGAGAGGTCTTGATACTTTGGTGAGAAAGGACGTGATGCAAGCTGATGTTGCACCGCTTATTAGTGCATTACTAGGGCAGCCATACCCGCGCAATTCGGTGGGAGTGTTGCCGTTCTCGTACTTGGCAAAGGGAGCATATCGAGCAAATGCTGTCAGATCGAACGCGCAGCAACTTTATTTGCATGCCCTGCGAAAGGCACAGGAGAAACAGTCACGCACATTATTACGCTTTGTGCCGTATGTCCCGTTTCGTGACCATGTTCCAAAGCTATTGCAGCAGCTTGCAGACGCTTATGGCGCCAGTACGCAAAACGAAGACGACTCAAGCGCTCATGAACGGGTGGAGGTACTGAGTCAAGAGCTGATTGAGATCTGTTTAGCTACTTTAGAGTATTTTCAGCGATACGATTGGTTCTTCTTGCTCGGCGTTGTCGTTCTAGGTTATATTGGATGGATGATTGTGGTGGGGGTAGCCTATCTCCACCCGCGTGACTTTAGCTTGAAGTGGTTTCTCGGTGTGAGTGGCAAGCAGCTGGACATCAAACTGGTTGTTATATTACTCGCAGCTTTTGTATATCTGGTCCTCGAGGGCTCCCCAGCCACGTACTATCTGTACGTATTGTTTCCGCTAGTATTTGGAGTTTTTACTTGGAACCATGCTGATCTAATCACCCAAGCGTGGAACTTCGGTGCAAGGGACAACACATCCAAATCGAGTTGGAAAAGATGGGGAGAGATGGCGCTGATTTTGCTGTGTCTGGAACTAGTTGTGTTTGGGTATGAACGCCGTGAGATTTTTGGTATTCTTTTTTCACTCCTTGCAATGTGGCCTTATATTGGGCTTACGTCAAGTAAAGATGATGACCAAGACAATGTTCATGCGGAGTGGACTAGTGCCTTCCCATCGCCGAGCCGCTGCTGGACGATCAGCTGTCTTCTCATCTCCGTGTTTCCGTATCTTCCGAGCGAGTATGGCGAGCACACTATGTTAGTACATGTCGGTGGTCTTTTGACATTGCTGTTTACCGGCATGTTGCTGACCATGATACATCCTGACGAATGCAAGACTTGGATGAACGCATTTGCTCTGAACGCTTCGCCTTTGATGCTCTCACTAATGACTCTGTACGGTACCATGCAGTATCTTGACGGTGACCGAAGTAAGCCGCCATTTTTACTCACGCTGGCTAATTGGCTCCTGTCTGGTGTTCCCATCGTGCTGCTGCTCATCCGAATCCAACGGAGCACAAACGGCTTGAGTCGAACCCTGGAAACTGGCTCCAGCCGTCATGACCAGCATTCACATCTAGAAGCTCACGTTGCCCGATGTGTACGACGACTCATTGAGGTGATGCTGGCTTTCGCGCCTTCATTCATTCTGCTGAGTATTGCGTACGAGGTGCTGTTTTACGTGGTACTGGGCAGTGTTCTTGTGAGTTGGTTCTTGTTAGAAAGCCAAGCTTTACTGGAATCTTCCTCTTCAATGTGGCGCGAGGTCCAGCGTGCATTTGTGTTTTTATTGCTGGTCAAAATTGCATTCTTTGGTACGGGGAACGTGGCTAGTATGAGCAGTTTTGAGATCTCGTCAACGTACCGCTTTGTCACGGTTTTCGCTCCCTTCACGATGGGTGCATTATTGGTGGGCAAGATTCTCATTCCATTTATGCTGGTAGCGTGCACTTTTCACTTGATTTTACTTCTTCCATCGATGCCCGTGTCAGCTCAAGTAAAACCGCCACGACCGCTTCCTGCTGTCCGTTATTTTCTTCTCGTTGTCGCCATGTCGGACGTGCTTGCACTCCATTTTCTCTTTCTCGTCAAGAATGAAGGCAGTTGGAAAGAAATTGGCAATTCCATTTCAATGTTTGGTATCGTGAATGCCCAAATCGTTTTTATCCCGCTTTTATTCCTCTTGGGCCGTGCATTTGTTGACGATCTCGCATCCGAGTCTTACACGTACAATCCGATCCAAAAAAAATCTCAATAAAAAAACATTTTTTTATTCCCATCTTGACAATATTTTTTTTTATTTATCGCCTATATTTGCCATATGGGTCGTTAAAATATTACTTTAAAAAGGGAAAATATCAAAACATACAGTATTTGTAGTATTATTATCCAATCGGAATCCTTTATTTCTTCCAGCCAACCATTAGGATAACATTCCATATGGACAAGACCCTCTCGAGTTCATCATGGGATCTCTTGCTCTGGAATCTCTTGGCTGTTGACAATGGCATTCGTAAACAAGCCGAAGGTCAATTTGAGTATCTAAAGCAGAATATCTGTAGTGATGAATTGCTATTAGGTCTTGTCTCTATCGTGCATTCCGATCGTCCAGATGATATTCGCGCCTTGGCTGCTGTTTTATTGCGTCGTGTGCTTTTACGTGACGCTGTATCGCTCTGGCCACGAGCTACGGATCAAGCTCGTGTGATTGTGAAACAAGAGCTTCTTGCGGTACTTGAAGCAGGTGAAGAAAATCGTGGCATTCGTCGAAAAGTGTGTGATACGGTGGGGGAATTAGCAAGCAGTATTTTGGAAGATGGACAATGGGATGATCTATTACCCAAGTTGTTACAATGGAACAATGCACCAATGATTACGTTACGAGAAGCTTCGTTACGAGTTTTAGAAATGGTGGCTATTTTTCTGGCTAATCAGATGACACAGGAAGCGGACACGACGACGACTAGTAACACTGTACTGGATGTTACAGTGCTACAAACAATGGCTAAAGGATTGGCTGATAGAGAAGGACGTGTAGCTGTTAATGCTGTGCGTGCATTGGGTATGTTGCTGCTAAATCTCGACACATTAGACCAAATACCTCGACCCGAGCTATTGGTCAGTGCAGTGCCTCTTGTCTTGGCAACATTGCATTCGCTGCTGGTAACAAAGCAATTTGAACAAGTGATGGAAGTACTGGAAGTACTGATTGAAGTGGCTGAACCACATGCTGCCTTTTTTAAATCGAACTTGCGGGAGTTTGTGGAGACGATGGTACAGATAGCAGATGCGCCAAGAGATGAGAACGATGAGAATGAGATGCCTGATGGATGTAGACAATTGGCCATGGAATTTTTGGTTTCGCTGGCAGAACAGGCTCCTGCAAGATGTAGACGACTGGCTAAGAATATGTTTGTCCAGACCGTCTATCCTGTGGCATTTAAGATGATGTTAGAACTGCACGATATTGATACGTGGGATGTTGCAAATTGCGAGGATGAACAGTCTGCTGGCCGCCAAGGCATTGACCAAGAAATTTCTAACTTTGACGTGGGCTCTGAGGCATTGGAACGATTAGTTGCTGCATTGGGTGCTAAACGCTCACTTCCTACGTGCTTTGCACTTATTCAAGAGTATGCTGCTCGTTCCGACAATTGGGTGAGCCGTCATGCGGCCTTGGTTGGTCTCTGCCAGATCCTCGACGCTCTCGACAACGACAACTTGGACGCTATCGTACGCCACTTACTCGCTCAGACTAATGACCCACACCCTCGTGTTTGTTGTACGGCCGTTGATGTCATCGGTCAACTATCTGTCGACCAAGCTCCGCAATTCCAAGAGGCTTATCACTCCCAGGCGCTCACTGTGTTGGCACACTACCTCAAAGATTTTAATAAGCCGCGTCTCCAGGCCCATGCAGCCACAGCTTTGCGCCAGTTCATTGATATGTGTCCACCTGATCTTCTCACGCCATACCTGGATAAGATGCTACACCAGCTCTTCGCTTTGCTGCAGCACAGTCAAGCGATGGCACCGGGCGCAAATCAAGTACCCACACAAGCTTTTACCGCGACGCGTGTTGTTCAAGAACAAGCCATTACTGCTATCTCGTCTGTGGCAACGGTGGCAGGTGCATCTTTCACCAATTATTATGCTGCTGTCATGCCCCCTCTCCAGCAAATTCTTATGAATTGTCTCCAAGAAAGCGTACAGGCTGCAACTACGCCACCAGCAGTGATGAAGCCGCAGTCGAATGCACCGAGCTCATTTACACTTGGTGGTATCACGCTCGAGTGTCTGAGCCTTATTGGCCAGGCTGTTGGCAGAGAGGTGTTCTCACGCGACGCTCCTTCTATTCTCAAGGTGATGGCAGAAATGCAAGGAACGCCGTCTATCGTTGGCAACGAATTAATTCGCACGTACCTGCTGCAGGCCTGGGCTCGTTGCTGTACATGCCTTGGCCATGATTTTGCGCCATATTTGCCGCTCGTAATGCCTACTCTCTTGGAGGCTGCAACGCAGCAAGCTGAGTTTGAAGTGGACCCTTCTACATTGTCTAGTGACGATGACGATGATGAGAGTGGAGGCTCCACGGACAGCGAGGACATTCAGCTTGCCCAAGTCAATGACAAATGCCTGAGCATCCGAACGTCCATTCTTGAAGAAAAGGCTACGGCTTGTCAACTCTTGGCTGGTATGGTAACAGATCTGGAAGATGCATTTTTCCCATATGCGGAGCAGGTGACCCAGGTTCTTGCCCCATTGTTGACTGAGTGCGTGCACGCTGACATCCGTGCCTCAGCTATTCGTGCCATGCCGGCTCTCGTCAAATGTGTCGCCATTTCGACCGCGGCGCCTGGATCAAAGGATCACAATGGAACTGCTATTAAGCAGATGGTGGATTTTGCTCTCGGTCGTCTGGTTAATGCGTTGACCTCTGAGCCCGACGTCGATCTGGTCGTAAGCATTATGCAAAGTATGACGAGCTGTTTACGAAATGCACGTGAGCTGCACGTGACGCTAGAGCTGAACGAAGCCCAGTTGCGGGAACTAGTGCACGGTTTCCTCGTGGTTTTGGGCGACAGCTTCCAGCGTCGTGCGTTACAAAGAGGTCGAGACAGCAGTGACGACATGGAAAGTGGTGAGACGGAAGAAGATGACGATGATGAAGCTTTGCAATCTAGTGAGAGCCAAGTGACTGAGCAAGAGGTTCAATTTGTCTTGGCAGAGTGCATCGGTACTCTTGCCAAGATTCACGGAGATGGATTTTTCCCGGTTTTTATGGCGCTTTTGTGGGACAAAGTGGCAGCCCTTGCAGCTCCTGGATGTCTTTTAGATGACCGTCGTCTTGCTTTATTTGTCGTGGATGATGTGCTTGAGCATTGTAGTGGGATTGCAATGCGTCATTTGGATGTCTTTTTGCCCGTTTTAATAAGTGCTTTACGTGAAGTGAATGAGCCTGGTCTTGTGCAAGCTGCAGCATTTGGTATCGGAGTGTGCGCTTCACAAGGTGGAAAAGCTTTTGCACCACATGCAAATGAATGTCTCGAGCTGCTTTCGAAGATTGTCATCCATCCACGAGCTCATAGTCCTGATCAGCGCAATGCAACGGATAACGTTGTGGCTGCACTGGGTAAATTCTGTGAATTTCAAGCTGATGCGATTGACGCTACCGTGTTATTTCCACAGTGGTTGGAATTGCTTCCACTTCGTGGCGATTTAGAAGAATCACTTGCAGTTTCACGTCGATTATGTCGATATGTGACTGATGAGCATCCGCTTGTAGTGGGTGCACCGGACTATCGACATGTTGGCAAAATTGTGACCGTGTTGGCTCATGTCGGTGATGAGAAATTTTTGCGGAAAATGAGCAAAAGTGTCGGTGAAAAGGAAGTTTCTCGTCTTCGTCAAGAACTTGCATCAACTTTTGCTACTCTTCGGACTATGGTCCCTCAGCTGATTATGACTCAGATATGGTCTTCTCTTTCAGCCTCGCAACAAACAACATTGTATGCACTTTTAGCGTAATGTCGTAACTTTTTATGGGTTCTTTTTGACCACGTTAGTCGTATTCATTAGGTGTTTTACCCTTAAATTGCTGCGTTTTACTGGAACTATACAAAATCAGGTACTTTATGACTAGGCACTATACATGTATACTGGCAAAAAAGATTAGCAATACGGTCCTCTTTAATGTGTGCTTTTCCTCGATTATCGAATAAATGGCGTAATCAATCAACGTCCTTCCATTTGGTCAATCAATAAACCTTGAAAATAATGTACGCTTTATTTTAATAACCTCTAGTTATCTATCTATCTCCTACGAGGGCGACACTGGTATTTATATTACTACTATCCGGTAGCATTTCATCTACCTGTTATAAAAAATATAACCACATGTCTACAAAACCCTACTCTCGTCCACCCGACGACAAAAACCCCCAGTAAAGAAGAAAAAATACTGATAGCGTCATCCCAGTCATTCGAAAAACCGACTTATTCTCAAAAGTGTACCCATTCATTCGATCGTGTCCGTCGTGCAGCTTCTGTCCATCCAATTATGATGTATTCACCGAAATTATCCATGGCCTTGGCTCATCGTCACCGTCGTCGACCTACAAGTAGTACAAAGACACGTAAACGATCACAACCAGACAATCATCATCTTGATACGGAACGAACCTTTTTAACTTCACTTAGTAATTCCAGTCGAGTTTTGAGTTTTTCCAATCGACCAAGTAACGGGTTCGACGTGACAATGACCGACTTGGAGGACGTTCCATATGTCCCTCTTGCTGCTGTTCAATACTTCACGCAAGTGACTTTACAACTCTCGGTGACAAAAAGACACACGGATGTACGGTACGTGATGACTGTTCGTCATACGGAATTACATGTCACATGGCGTCATGCCCGTTCCTTTGATGAATACCGTAAACTGCAACACCGTTTACTAAAGAAACTGCAACATGGTCACTTTTGTGATGCGGATTGTCCATGGCTGTATGGGTTTTTAAAGAGTTATTTCCCCAAGAGACGACTGTTTACCGTGTCCAGTGCAAGTGTCGTGGAAGAACGAAAGCAAACACTTGAGCGATTTTTTGCTGCATTGTATGGCTTTTTGACAGAGAAGAAGAATCTGTCGTGCTCGATCGTCATGACGGTATTTGCAGATGAACTTGTGGAATTCATTTATGGAAATACCTTGCAACAATTTGGATTTGAAAACCCATACAAGTCAACGGTGCGTGAGATGGATATGATGCAATGTAGTAGAGGATTGAATGCCAAGTGGAAAGAACCTGCTACACCTTTGAATCTGCATTTACTTGAGCCAGAGTTGGAGCAACAGCAGTACAACAGGCACTCATCATTGACCAATTCGTGCAGAGAATCCATCACGGACAGCAACATTGTCAATGATTTGAATATCGGGAATTGCGGAATTTGCGGCTCGCCACTGTGTGGCGTTGCATACGGCAACTCGTCACCGACATTGTCATCGGATACGACCTTGCTGCTGGAAGAAGATAAGATGAATAACAGCAATAGGTCGGCATCGAGTACGGAGGTGGGTGTACCATTTTCTCGTACCCGCAACAATAGCAGCAACAAAAACAGCGGTCCGCCATGGTTGGGAACTCTCGCGACGAATGGCAGTGGAGGTAGTGGCAGTGCCAACAGTGTCAGTGGCACCCGACGAAGAAAAAGCGCGAGTCGACGTTGTGCTGCCAGGTATTACTTGACAACACTGAGTTGCAGCCATCAGTTTCATGACGAATGCATTGTGCCAAAACTAAACGAGGCGTTGAAATGTCCGACTTGTGGGCGCACACAGACCAATCACTGAGTTGCTACGCCACGTCAACTAGGACAACGGGACCTGACGAGCTTGGTCGTAGCCGTATATATGACCCCGTTAGGAATGCGTACCGACATTATAGCATCCGTAAGTTGCTATCATTCGTGTGCTTTGATGTGGTCAGGTTAGCTCATGTTCGATGCAGATACCAAACAACGTCTCCCCAAGCTTCAGGATGCCTGAGCTACCAAAGCTTGGCAAGTTCTGCGTCTACGTACCTAATGCTTCGTGTTTGGTCATTAATGGCAAGAGCTCAAACAGCACTGTGTGAGCTTTCTTGCCACCGTTTGCATCAACCGTTTGCAGCAGTTGACAGTTGTTGGCTAGTCCACGACCAGGGCGTCTACCTGGGTGAACAAGATTCGTGGTCGTTTTGGATGGACAAGGCAAAGTTTGGCATAATGATCGTCTCGCGTTTGTTGTAACACTTTAAGAACGGCATAAGGACCTTGTAGCATCTTAATGCCATGACAAGCATTGAATCGTGGAGTAGCGCTACAGCGAAAATCAGCTACAGTGTACCATTTTATCGACCTAATACCAAGGAAGGCTCTTATGGTTTTTTCATTTTATGGTGCCAACGCCTCAACACGTCCAAGACCACCTTGAACGACTTTCGCCATTCAAAGCGCATGAAATAAATCTCGGTCACGACATTTCTTACGCGAAGAGTTCTTCGTAAGTTGAAGCGGGTGTTCTTCGTACAGCATCTTGAATATCTCGATCATAGTAGACAGTCTCCTCGGACTACTATGATTTTTCGTGGGCCTCGAGGTATCATCTTCAACCTCGTGGCTATCGTCTGGCATTATTCGATGGGTGTTTTTTGTGGGTTACTTGGCAATTCGAGAATGCTATTGTCAGCACTTTTTGAACATGAAAGATGCAATGCCGACTGACGCGTTGAGCAACCGAGGATTTGTGCGTTTAATTCTCGGGGCTCAGTTGTTTCAACAATGGCTTACTTGGTAAAGATGTGGTGGGTTTGCATGCTGCGTTATTGGAAGGCATCATTACACATCTAACGCTATATGGAGAAACCTTTAGCCAGTTACTTGATGCTGACGAGCGCAAGAAATACCAAGAAAACGATGAGCTTCGAGCTTTATCAATGTGGTGAACCAACAAATGGAGCTTAGACCATCGGAAATTGCCCACGTGAAGAAGCTAGCAAGCCTACCAGTGGACTGTACATGTAGGTTTTTTACTTTGCTTTGCAACGAAGATGAAGTGCACGAGGAGGGGAACAAGCCGACAAAGGATGGAAGTGGTAATGAGACGACCCAGCAAGGAGACAACTTTTTTACAATATGTATCACCAGTCTGTGGTTAATTATGTTAGTCATGAAAGAAGGGTATCACGAGACGATGACTATGGTACTAAACAAAGGAAAGGCCGGAAAAATTGTGAGCTCGGATACTGAGGTATTCTCCTGAGATCCAAATTGCGAGCTATCCAGCCATCAAATTACGCAAGTGAAACCCGAAAGCAAAAGAAAATCTAATGAACCCATTTTTGACTGTCAACTGCCGACAAAGACTAGCAGCTGTGATGCATCGACCTGTGCGCTTTTTCTCCTACTGCTCGCCTCCGCGTAGTTTGTCTTGCTGTGAAAAACAAGTATGGGATCAGTGTCAATGAGAATGAGTAATCTGTGGGCTTTGCGTATTGCCGCTAGCAACGTTATGAAAGTCGACGAAACTGGAATGCCAGGAGTCTTAAGAAATTAACAAGGGATGCACCAAATGAGGTGAAACGTGCAGCAACTAGCTCAAAAAAGGTCAAGTGAAAAGGAATTGTGTTAGCACAACGATACTAGCTCGACGGCTCTTTCAAAGTATCAAATTTATGGATCCTCATTTGCAACGGAACATATCCCATCCATTGCTCGTTCCGTCATTGTTGTTGGCCGCCCATCGTCTAATTTAACTGGAAAGCAGCGAGCTTTTGGTTTTCATTTGAAACATCCGTCGCGAACAACACCACGAAGACTAACAGCAAGTTGATGCGTTCACGCCGTGAACTTGTTTGCCACGAGCCAAAATTCCATGTAGATTGCTCGGATACGCTGAAACAACAACAATTTTGCTTGAGGGAATTTTGAGGAGTGGCAGGAGACCTGCAGTATACAATGCCATCGCGAGCCGATACTGCCTAATTAATAACGAGCTGAGAGCACAACCATGATTACTTATGAGCAAGTGGCTCAGGTAAGAGAACACCATGATATTAATCTACGACAGGCGGCGGTGGATGAATTCAGGCAGCTCAATGAAGTGAAAATTTGGCTATAAATCTTCATGGCAGCGTTTCGACATTTTTTACATGTATACCGAGAACAATAACGAGCACTGGCACAGCTAACGAATGATGGTGACGGCGTGATACAGCTACTAGGACTACAGGCGTTGCCAGCTATTAGGTACTCTATTTTTTAGCTTGAAAGAGCAAGATTTTCGGTGTCAGACATTGAAATGGAATAGATGAAAGGGGAGCTACCAAACAATGTTACTCCCAGCTTTCACACCCATGTCACCAATTGTTTTAATGGTGGTAAGCTGCTGCTTTACGTGAAGTTTAATTGATTGATGCTAGAGTCACTCATCCACCATAAAAACTTCCTGGTAAAGTCACTCATCCACCATAAAAACTTCCTTGTTGAAGCATTCAATATAATTTCAATACTTAAACCCTGTTTTACTGTTAAACAAAGTGCATGAATGTAAATGTCACAAGACGTTTTTTTCTCGTAAAGAACGTTAATCTTGACGCTTTTGAATCGATGATTTGCTACAGTACAAGTGTCGAATGTTATGTTACACGAAAATAACTGGCAGGAATGAAAAATGTGACGTGGTTGTCTGAAGATCGACATTTTTATGAGTTGGACAAGCATTCTCGAACAGTTCACTTCAAGACAAGTTTGTGCTGGAAAACGCTTATAATGTAAACTCAAGCAATCAGATACAAAGCTATTCAAAATAAAAAACTCTGTACCTGATATACCTCATTGATCTGTTCTTGGTATCCAACAACATCACTGACGCTGTGTATCAAGTCCAAACTTCAATTTCCAGTCCGCGACTTGATGCTTCCAGCACTTTTAGTAGCTCGTCGTCCAGAGTACACCTACTTTAAACTACGACGCACGTTCGTGTTGTCTAGCTTGTACAACCTCGCCCAAATGCTCGGTTGTATTCCTTCCTACTGACCCTTGTCGGTCCGTTGGCGCTTTGTCGGCGTTATTACTTCGCCGTCGTTTTGCTGGCGCTTTGTCGGCGCTGATGCTTCGCCTTCCAATGCTTCTTCAAGCGCCCTCTCTAAAAAACCAGCCAGCTTCTTATCTTTGCCAGTTTTAACAGCTTTGATCCACAAGAGTAGATCGTCGTCCTCATAATGCTTCCTCAGCACTGTAAGTACTAACTTTAAGAACTCTTCTTCATTTACGTATCCCTTCTTCTCCAGCCTTCTCATATATAAGATCCACATATTCCACTGTGGGTGGTCAAACATATGGGTGCCTGCTTTGTTAAGCCCAAAACGCTCCAAGACAACGTCACCCCCTATATCCTTACGTCGCCAGTCCACACACTGATATCTCGCCAGCAATAGTTCCGTCTCCTTTGCAGCATCGTTGCTTTGCGCCGCAAGAAGCTGTTTTGTTAGCTCTGGTCCCTTGTATTTTTTCGATAATTCATTATTTCATAGTCAAGATATAATATTTCAAAAGCGTGTTCATCAAGGGATTCATGCAGTTGCAGAAATTAGGTGGAGATCTTGAGCAGTTTCTCTCGTAGCTGGGTCTTTCTCTGCGGCCTCTAGCATGCTATGGACCCAATTTTCACCGTGCTCAGTTAAAAGTTCTAAAAGCTTGGCTGATGCAGCAATTTGATACTCCTTAAAAGTCAATTCTTCCAGAGAGTCGGCCCACTTCAGCAGACCGGCCGTCTCGGGCAGACTTTTTGCATTCTTGTTTATTTCGGGGATCTTCGCCTCAAACTTCTCGCCAGTTGCCAATTCTTCGAGAATAGGAAGGAAAACCACTCTTTCTTCGTCACTACCGTTAATTCTCTCCGTCAGATATGAGTTTGGCCTCCATTTTCGTTTTAATTGCGCGTCTCTCGGTGCATGCTGCAAAGCGACAATTGTCTTTACCATAATATTTCGACTAAGTAGAACCCATATCAGCACAACAACAGTTGCAAGCTTATAAGGTACCAGCATACATGCTTTCCTTTGTTGATCGTGCAGGCCATTCTCAGTATCGCACTGTAGCACTAGGGAGTTGGAAGCTAATAACAAAATGAGAAGGCACAACTCTTTCGAGCGACGATCCATACGTTTTATATGCAAATACAATCGACCACAGTCGGGTAAGCTTGAGATCTGTTCGCGAGAGTCTAGCCGGATAAATTGCGCAAGTGAGAGTCCAGCAGAGAAAGTACTTGGCACGGATGGCGGACGACCTCCGGTACAAGTCGTGGACACTAGACTTCTCTGGGTTTCGTGAAACGCTAAAAAAATCTCAGCGAGCCGAAACACCCGTGGCTATTAGGAGTTGCAGGAACGTAAAGGTCGAACTCGCTAAGGACATCGCGCGATGTAGTTGTTAAAACAATGTACCTACGTCTGGTGTCGGCACAGCACAATGATGACGCTGCGTTGTCTATGTGATGCTGGGCCGACTGTATCCCGGCACCGCAATCTTGGACATGAAGCGAAAATTGTTAATGCTGCGACAACTGTAAGCTCAACAGTGTAGCAAGCGCTCAAGTGTTAAGTAATTTAAACTTGTCTTGTTAAGTACATGCAGCACTTGGAGGCTTTGTCGTCAATTTCTCTACTACAATCCCATTAATGGCAAGCCAGACTGACTACAGCATCATCGGATTGAATATTAATGCAACGTCTGTAAAACTCTCTTTAGATCACCTGCCTGTATGAATTCGCGCACCTCGGCAATTAAATTTTTGAAAGTAGAAGAAGCGAAACATCCCAGGTATTTTTCCTCTCTCAATAGCACCGGCGTTTTCTTCAGCATTGGCATAATTTTTTTATGGGCGATCTCGCTGGATGCAAGCGCGCGTGGTAAGGAGAAAGATCAACGAGAGTTTGTAAGCGCTCAAAGAATCCATCCGCTCATTTGGATCATGATGCGACGCAAATTCCATATCGACAAGATGAGCTCACTAACAAATTTATCGAAAAAGTTTCGGAGGAAATACGATTGCTATCATTTACTTTGCCTTACAATGTTGCAACCACGCTTTGTACAGTTACTGAAGAGTACAAAGATGGGAGATTGGACGGTCCAAAGCTTTCTTGCAAACAGTGCAAGCAGACGCGCGCCAGAACAATCCATGGTGGTCCAGGAACATCCAACCTGACATCACCCAGCGAGGTGGTCGCATGCGCCGCCGCATCCCAATTTTTTAAACCCGTCTGAGACATTCTGGAAGTAAAACACTGTATTGAATACTGCTCTAACGATCCATCGAAGCTGAAGCAAGTTCTGCCTATCTCCCGGAGCCATGGTGAGCAATGATGTCATGTTCATGAGCCACGCATTTTTGTATATATGGTATGCGTTGCTTGCAGAACAAAAAGAGGCCTACACTTGCTAGGAGATGCGTCTTAACGACCCCTTTGTAGCCTGTCGTTTTCGTTGGATGCAACAAGACAACAACTAGTGTTTTTTTACAGTGGATAGCCTTTTCGATCGGGGCCTAAAAATGACGATCAACAACAGCCTGCGGGGATAAGTTGCTGATCTATGGCTGTCCTTAGCTGCGGACGGTACATGTCAAATCGAAGTTTTTTTAGACAGGAGAGCGACATATTCCAACACAACCAGCACATTTAACTTAGAGCCAATAGTATATGCGAAAGGCCGCTTACTCTAAGGTGATCCCATCGCACTGTTTTTATGACGTGCGATCGTCGTTGACCAGGAACAATCGAGTAACGTTAAGCTTCATTAGGGCTCTTTTTTTGTAGTGCCAATCGACGAATAGACGATCGTCTAATTGTTCTGCATGGCGCAGGGGGCCTGACTGACACCGGCTCCTTGCAATTGTAGTCGCTTAAAGAATTGAGCCGAAGCTTTGCATAATGAAGTGCCTTTTACTACGATTGTTATGTAAGAGTTCAATTCGAGTTGGCAAGCATATTCCCTGCTCGCTTATAATCTATCGCAATTTATATCGTAACTTTAGACGAGGAAATAAATGGAAAAGCCAATTATATAATTTAGAAGCAATCTAGAAAGTTCTTCTGTAAGCTTTTTATTGTAAGCTTTTTATTTCTGAGCCCCCAACATCTGTCAGACGTGTTATTCACTAAAAAGTTTAGTCACATCAGCTCGTCGTCCTCCGTCTTCAACAAATAGGCTCTCTTAAATCGAATTCGCACGTAATCGCTTATATTTAACTCAAATTTACCATGTTAAGAAAACAGCTGATAAACAAATCGCAGCTGCTCTTCGCTTGTTTCTCTCCGCATGTACGACGGATAATGTACCGTATCTCCGATAAATCAAAAGGGAGGTACCTCCTCTTCAGTCACTCCATAGTCGCCCTTATCATTACCGAATTCGACCGATAAACCTCAAGCACGTCTACCCTACGAAACCATGCACCTTCCCTGCGTCTTAATATTTTTCGCTGTCGCTATCCGCCCAGTGAGTGCTGGTGCACATACAGAGCCGTCGGACGTCGTGAACTCATATGGTCGACCTAAGGTTCCGGTCAAGAGGTACCTGAGGTCCCAAGAGCGCGCATACGATGTAGACGACGACGAGAGGACTGCAAATGCCGATGGTGTCGCAGAATTTTTTGCCAGCAAACGTTCCGCAGAACCATTGGTATCCGACAAATCAAGTAAGCGATTCAGAGTTGGCGATGTGGTGGATGATTCCACGCAGATGGCGACATGGCAGAAAGTCGTTGAAAAAGATTACAATGAGAACTTAGTGAATACGGGTGGCGTTAAACGCGCCGGGGATATTTTGGAATCCGAGTACCGACCAGGTAAGGTTTCTAGAATTGGCGATGCGGAGGATCGTCCTAACAAGCACATCGACATTGGAGAAGACAATATTTTTGAACAGCCGATGATGGTCTCATGGGTTAAGATGGTGGACGAGCATAACGCCAAGTACCCCATTAAGCAAATTACCTTGCTCAATGAACTGCGAAAGTATTATTCAGTGAAACAGTTGGTGGAGGCTGCGGTTAAGTCTCCAAGCAACAATATCGCGACGCGAGTGCAAGACGAATTACGTCAGCTTCTATTAGCGGAAAAAACTACTCCAGATAATGTCTTCACTTGGCTCCATCTTAACGAGTTGAAAGGCGATCTTTTCGACAGCCCTCTGTACCCTTTTTATATGAATTACTGGATGTATTACCTATCCAAGTTACCAAGTGTACGAGTGTTGGAGGATTTTTCGGTCGAGAAGCTGCCAATAATGTTCGGTAAGATTCAAACGTCTGCCTTCACTCGCCGTGTAGAAGAAGAAATTATTGGGAAACTGCTGAAGTATTGGATCACTAACAATACTGAATTCACGAAAGTGAAAGATGACGTGCTGAAGATAGAACTAGCAGCGGAGAAGGGATCGGTGTATGAAAGCGCACTGCTTAAAGCCGCGCATGCGTATGCTGTAAGTGCTGGGAAAGATTTAAAACCTTAGAGCTTACGCATCTGCAGCAAGTACTCCGCAAGGAAACGCTTGTCAGTAAAGTTGCTGATCTTGCAATTGGTGCTAAAGAATCTTCGGAGATCGGTGAACAATTGCCACTTCGCTGCTTTAAAAGCCACGACCAGTCATCATAGTGATGTTTCAATAACTTCTTAACATGTTGCCAACGTTATTGAGTCGAGTAGATATTTTTTTCAGTCGCTATCTTTTTTGTAGTCCTAAAGGTTTGTATTGTCAAGACATTGATTCAAAAGACCACAGACTAATCATGATCGGTCATCGAGATCTACAGGCAAGCAAAGACAGGAAAGTCCTGAATACTTCTGTAAAAGGGCATCTAGTTACACGTAAACATAAAGTAATATACTTAATGTTTGGTCTAAAAGTATCCATGATTACTTTTGACCTGTCACTTGGGTGCGATACACAAATGTGATCCACCCTCGTGAATGTAATATCCATTTATGGATTCACATGATGCTAGTTGAAACTAGGCATCGCGACGTCTCAGAAGGACGTCATTAGCAAGTTTAATCTAGATTTAAGTTCATGCGACAGGATACGCTTCTAAAGAGTCACGTATCCGATCTATATACATATATGCCAATCAGTGGTTAAGTTATATTTAATTATAATTCATTAAATATAGCTCAGTCTTGAATTTACTAAAACGAAAGCACCGCGCACGAGAAGCTATAAAAGCTTCTGCGTGACGTCGGTGACTTGTTGTTAAGAAGTTCGTTGCGCTCTCGCTTAAGCGAGAGGCAACTGGTGATACGACTGCTTAAGCAGTCGACCAACCTCCTAACCACCCTCGCACGCGAAGGAAAGATGGTCTAACCGCTTCCTCGCTTGTGCTGAAGGTGTGTGCTAGTAGCACGAGGCAACTTCTTAGAAGTGCCCGTCTACACTTGGTAGCACTAGTAGTCCTTTCCACGACTCGTCTCTCTGAGCGTGCGTGTGATTAAGATGGTCCTTAACATGGACTGGAGTGACTTCCCTCACCTCTCCCAACATCATAGGGAGTTGGCAGAGCATATGGCGCAGGGATTTGGTGAACAAGCCCTGGTCAACCTCTTGCATTGTCCTCCTGAGCAACATGTTGCTCAGTTGGAGCAATTTGAGGCGTTTGTGCTCGAACAGCGTAGAAACACGTTCGAGGTAAACAGCCAAGCCACCGCTGAGTCCATCACTAAGACTCAGGATGAGCTTAGGCTTGAGCAGGCACGTAATGAGGAGCTCAACAGAGATGTTGAGACGCTCTCTGCCCGGACTAATCAACCGAGGCCCATTCGGATGGACCCTCCGAAGTTCGATGGACTAGCCCTCACACGATTATTCACTGGCTATTAGCAGTTGAGTAATGTGGAGTGGCGCAGCTCATCGAAGACGACACCAGAATGGTGTCGTATGCCATGTCCAACTTGCGTGGCAAAGCGTCAGAGTGGGCATACTCTGCGCTGATGGCAAATGCTGATGCATTTCCATCATGGGCGATGTTTAAGACAAAGATTCGCGCCATGTATCAACCACCTAACAACGAAGTGTTGCTTATGGCGTGCTTCTTTGGATCACGATAGGCGAAACGATCTCTGCAAGAGTATGTGCAGGAGATGCGTTCGCTGTCGGCGTCCATTAATGGGGAACTGATACCGGAGCGTATCAAGGTGGCCATGTTCATGAATGGACTTAGGCACGGCCCATCGCGTCAGGCCCTTTTTAAAAAGGTTCCAGCAACGATGGAAGAGGCAATTGACATTGCCTTAGTTGAGTAGCAATCCTACAACAGCGCCTCGGCGACAGCCTATTACAGGCCGTCGTCCGAGAAGTCTGATGCCACTCCTATGGAGTTAGGCAATGCTGTGGTGGAGTGGGTTCTCAAAATTGTATGATGAGACCCCAAACCACTCACTGTGCCGGACTGCCGACTGTCGGAGGGGGTACCCCGATGCCGCGTATGAAACTTCTCTCACCTTGTGTACCCGTCGGCTGGCGGGTTGCACTCTTCGGAGGACTTGGTAAGGATGTAGACGTCTGCCTTGAGGGAGGTAGACCTGGGGGCCTCGAGTGGATATGCTTCATTCGGTGGGCCGGTAGGTGGCCACTCGATCGACCTTGTCGAGAGTGGGCTTAGAGCCAAATTCTTCAGAGGCGCTTGTCGTCCCTGGCCTTTTCCTTCTGTTTCAGGGGTATTAACCACCTGACCTTTACGTTGCTCCCGGACCTTGAGGTGAGGGAGACCGCTTCCGATAGCGGGTCTTGGGGGGTGTTGCTACTCGAACGAGCTCACAGGCCAAATATGTACTGGAGCTCTATTCGCCCTTGAGCTTCGCTATGCAACTGTCTTCGACGGGGGCCAAAATATATCCCTTCCCGGAACAGTGAGTAACTTAGAACAAGTCCTTCTTGGGTGACGGAGTCGTGCCACGTAGATCGCAAATTGAGTAGTATTTAATATAGTCCTATCCTTTTAACTCCATTACTCTATCCTTGCCTGAAGCTCTGATTCCTTGCGTCGACTAGTCTGATCCTTGTATTAACCGGTCCGGAGTGGCTGAACCCCGAGGGGCCGAGGTCGACTGATGAGGGACCCAGGTCTACCAATGAGGGACCGGGTCGACTGATGAGGGACCCAGGTCTACCAATGAGGGACCGGGTCGACCAACGAGGGTCCGGGTCGACCAATGAGAGACCCAGGTCGACCAATGAGAGACCCAGGTCGACCAACGAGGGTCCGGGTCGACCAACGAGGGACCCAGGTCTACCAATGAGGGACCGGGTCGACCAAGAGGGACCGGGTCGACCAATGAGGGACCGGGTCGACCAACGAGGGTCCGAGTCGACCAATGAGAGACCCAGGTCGACCAACGAGGGTCCGGGTCGACCAATGAGAGACCCAGGTCGACCGATGAGGGACCGGGTCGACTGATGAGGGACCCAGGTCTACCAACGAGAGGCCAGGTCGATCAATGAGCGGCCATGATCAACTCCTTTTGGTACCGGTTAACCGGTACCCTGATACTGATTTTTCTTCGGCGGATCCTGCGGATTGTCCTCCACCAACGGTCGCTCCCCTTCGAGCCCCTGTATCTCTGGTCCCCTGTCCCTGACCCACGGCCTAAACTCTGAATCCAACTGGAGTCCGGGACCTCCACATCACAAAATTAGCACTTCACCACAATGCAGATGTGATCTGCTACAGGTGCGGCAAGCGAGGCCATATGATGGCTCGCTGCTATGACAAAGTAGCTGCTGGTGCTAAGGCAGCCAGCAAAAGGTCTCCCCAACCCGAAGGGGAGGGCGCGAAAAACCAGCGTGCACGACGCACGGGTTCAGCACCTGCCCAAGATGAGTAGGGAAATGCGGGAGCGCAGTAGGGGGCGGGATGCCCTACTGTCGCGGACTCTGAAGCTACCCCTTAGATCAGAGTGATCTAACAAATGGGTAGCATAGTCCCTTAGGTTCCGAAAAGGTCGGACCTCAACCTATTTGGTCTATAGCTCTCGAGTACGAGACTATGACCAAGTGGATGTCCCTTCTCGTGGATTCGGGTGCATCGAAAAACTTTATGAAACTCGCGGCTCTTAAAAAAGACCGGCGAGTTATGAGTCGCTTTGCCAGGATGGCAAGCGAGAAGAAGCGATCGTTCGTTTAGCGAACGGCGCGCACGTTGAATAGGAGGGAGTTCAAGTTGAACTCGCCTTCAGTTTCAGTGACTTCTCTTGTAAAGAGAAGCTCACAGTGCTAGGTATGGAGAGTCCGTATGACCTCATCCTAAGCATGCCTTGGTTGGCTAAACACCAACCATGGATAGACTGGCGTACACGCACAGTCGCTAGCTCTACGCAAGACACCAGAAAGGATGTGCTCTTGCGAGAGGCTTATGTGGATGGTGCTGTGTCCAACACGGTCGAGGGTGCGATGACGGTATGTCAATCGACACCAGAAACTACCCAGCTCGAAAGGAGTGGCGTAGTTGGAAGTGCACTGGCGGAAAGCCAGGTGACACATATTCCTACCCAGGTCGAAAGACTGGTGTAGTGAATGGGGCGATGACAAGTAGTCACGCGTCCAATAGTCCTGCACAGAGCAGAGAGCCTGTGGTAACTTGATGTTGTGGGGCTGACAGGAAGTCAAGCGCCACAAGAACCATCACAAAGCCATGAGCCTGGTGCGGGATGGAGGGAGGTGCGTTGGCCCAATGCAGCAACGACACCTTCTTCCAGTTCAAAGGTCACGTGAGTCGAGCAACGAGGCACCAAAACGTATTAAGACGACCAAGAGCACGTCGAAACGAGTGACCCTGGATCAGTCTCGGTCCAAGAGGACGGACCTACGAACGAGTTGTTCGAGGCCGTCGAAGACAAAATGCCGGAGGCATCCTCAGTTGAGGTGCTCCAACTTGTCTTGGCATTTGCCGAGGAGATATTAACTTCCTCGGACATGACGTGGGATCCGTCCCGTCTGAACTAAAGGAAGGAAAGATCCACGAGGATAGTCGCACCAGTTCCAGAAGAGAACGTGGTGGACTGTTGCTCGTCCACTACAAAGGACGAGAGCGTCTTGGAGACCGACAAAAAGAACGGTTCGCTGCTCAAGGCTGGATGCCTTGAAGGACAGCCCATTCTATGATGTTCTGTGGAACATCGTGACGTGTTTCCAGCAGAAGTGCCGAGCCTCCTACCGTCCGATAGGAATCAGACACAAGATTGGACGGAGTCGGCAATCAAGTATTGTGTGACCAGGCAATGGCCGTTGCCGAAGAAACAAGTCGATTACATCGATGAGTTCTTCGACAAGCGAGCCAAGGCGGTACATGTACGTGAGAGCAAGTCGCCTCACTG